GATAAGCTGACCCCCTTCTACAGGCTACTGGTTTTTGTCCTCAAAATTCGGCTTTTCTACGGTAATATACGGTATATGGCGGTGTTTTGTAAATAATTTACTCTAGACCAATCCAGTGATCAGCAGTATGAACATCAATCCGCTACAAGCTAGCTTGACCACCCGCTCTCATTAGTCGCCTGGGGCGGTGGGGTAGCCTAGTGGTTAAAGCGTTGGCTCTTCATGCCGAAGACCTGGGTTCGATTCCCCACATGGGTTCAATGTGTGAAGCCCAATTCTGGTGTCCCCCGCCGTGATATTGCTGGAATATTGCTAAAAGCGGTGTAAAACTAAACTCAGTCAGTCAGCATTAGTCGCCTCTTACGACAAGCATCAAGGGTTTCAGTTCTAACCTGGATCTTCACGTGTCTAAGTAAATGAGGTGGTCAGACTTGGTGATTTGGTTGATAGTGTGTCATAATACCGTGAAGATGTGGATGGTTTCTCATGATATCAATCACTGGATTGTCTGCTCCAAACCTTATTATTCTCAGGCGCTGTCTATAGCTTGAACATTGGTGAGTGACGCTTAGACAACAAACAACCAAATTAACATAATCTTGATAGACAGGATCTAAATTATAGATCTAGATTTCAAATGAAGTATTGGATGTTCCAGCAAAGTTCATCATGACAAAGACCCTGAGTGCAGGACGTAATCGCGGAACAGTCGGAACTCACCACACTTTCAGGAGCCCACTCAACCAGCAGAGCTTTATGTTCAATTCATGAATCGACTGAATTAGATTCACTGCTATCAAATCCTTGTGCGAAGGAAATCGATCCGTTTACACCTAAAGTAATGAAAAATAAATATTTGCCATGGTTGGGCATTTGGGAAGTAAAATACTCAAGTGTCATCTTAAAATGAGCTGAGGATCAAACAAGTTGAGAGTGCTTCGGTTCAATGGAGTCATAGTGGGAAATTTATAAAGTCAATATTATGGATTTGTGTCGGCGGATGTTTGTGGAGAACTGTTTTTACACAGAGATATTTGCAGGGTTCTGAATAGAGGTTTCAATCTGGAGTCCTCACAAGCGAAATGGATCAGATTTGAAAAAAAGGTTTTGGTTATAAAAATGGATTAGATTTGAAAACATTTTCTGGCTATCTTTTGCTCTGTGGGTGGTAGTTTTATTGTCAGAGGCAGTAGACTGTGTAGCATCATTAAAACAAGTTCCTGTTGGAATGCAGAAAGAACTTTACAGGCTCTAAAGGGACATCGAAGTGGAAAAGTTTTAGTAGAGTTTTCAACAAGCCCAGCAGGGGGGATCAGAAAGTGTGTGTTTTTAAAGAGCCACTCTCTGAAATATTCCAGGTTTTTTCTGGTGGTCTGTGAATGATCGTGTCTGGGCCAGACAAGCTAGTGATTGATATCATAAGCATTGTAAGTGCAACTAACATGACGTGCGAGCAACTAAGCAGGGCTCGATTTAAAGAAATGAAACTTACTTGCACCCGGTGCAACCTTAGGTAGAAACCTTGTTGCATCAGATAAAAACAGGTTGCACCTGCTGCTCAATATAAAATCTTGTATAGAATGTGATGCTTGAGTTTTGGTAATGATAGTTTAGAAGATTATAACAAAAGAAATCTGGGACTGATAACATTGGTTATCTTACTTCCTACAATTTCATGAACAGTAAGTCCTTCAGTCACTGCTAATACAGTCATCAGAGTCACTCTTCCAAGTCAGTTCCTCATCCTTAAACCGCGTCCGTGGTGTAGTGGTTAGAGCGTCCGCCCGGAGAGTGGAAGGTTCCGGGTTTGATCCCCGACTGCATCATACCAAAAGACGTTAAAATATGGCACTTGTGGTCACTGCCTGGCGCTCGGCATTAATGGGTACAACAAGGACTGGTCGAGTCAGTATAATGTGTCTGAGTGGGGTATTCATGCTTCACTGCGGCATGGTATCTCAGTGGGCTAGCACTATAAAACCAGCTTAAGTCTGGGTTAGTACAAGCAGCCGCACATACACATACACACGTATGCACGTCGTCACATGAGCGAAATATTCTCAAGCATGACGTTAAACCCAATTTCACCTCACCTCACCTCACCTCACCTCACCTCTGGTAGGACTCCAATAACACTAACACATTCATTATGTCATCTTGAAAACTACTCTCCGATTCTACTGGTGAACTGTGGGTCTTACTGAATTTAACAAGGAAGTGATTTTATGGCACTTCCAAATGTAAATTCATGTTTTGGTACTCATTTGTTTGTTGTTTAACACCGCACTCAGCATTATAACAGTTATATGGTGGTGACGTGTAAATAATCGTGTAGTCGTAACTCAAATAGTATGTCTGTGAGACAGGTTATCATTACTGTACACTGGTATCTTTCTCTAGGCTATTACAATCAGTCTACTGGGGACGCTGGGGTAGCCTAGTGGTTAAAGCGTTCACTCGTCATGCTGAAGACACAGGTTCGATGTGTGAAGCCCATTTCTGGATATTGCTGGAATATTGCTTAAAGCGATGTTAAGCCATACTCACTCACTCACCCACTCACTCTAAGCTATTACTGATTATGGGCAGTTACCAGGGGTAGCCTTGTGGTTTAAGCGTTCGCTTGTCATGCCAAAGACCTGGGCTCGTTTCCCCACATGGGTACAATGTGAAGCCCATTTCTGGTGTCCCTCGCTGTGATGTTGCTGGAATATTGCTAAAGGCGGCGTAAAACTAAACTCAGTCACTATTACTAATTATGATGATGAAACTAATATTTTAGATCTATATTTTCCTAATATCTGAATTAGATATCACATGGTGTGCTAATAATTAATAATGGTATTTTGTATAAATTATTATTCCATGATAGTATTATTATAAGCAACTCTAAGTACAACAAAACCATTCACCATCTTCATCAGTTCAGGCAGACACAGGGGCAGTGGGGTAGCGTAGTGGTTAAAGTGTTTGCTCGTCACACCGAAAATCCGGGTTTGATTCTCCACATGGGTACAATGTTAGTCTGTCTCACAGTCCCTGAGCCACATTATTTTCCCCACTGCCAAGCTCTCTCTGCAGTGCTAAAGCCATAAATAAAGCAAGTCTAGATTTCCTCAGGTTCTGAATTTCTGGTCTCCCTGGGGCTCCTTTTCAATTTAAATGGGCTTGTTTGTTACTATCAAAATTATATATATTCAGAGACTAAGCATTAGCCTAGTACAATGTGTGAAGCCCATTTCTGGTGTCCCTTGCTGTGATATTGCTGGAATATTGCTAAAAGCGGCGTAAAACCAAACTCAGTCAATCAGGCAGACACATGTCCTTGTTTGAAGCTGAAACATTGACTTGAGATGTCCTTGATTACTGAGCAAGTTTGAAATTGCCTGGATTACAAATATTGGCAGAACGTGTACACTTAAAGAAGTTGTGTTTGGTTCATGTGATCTCTACTCTGATACAGCTATTTTCATCGCTTGTGGATAGATGGCAAAGAGATTTCAATCAGAGAGTATCAACACAGTCACATGCTTGACAATGGTGATTCGTGGTTATAACGATTTAGCTGTGTTTCATGCTGACCTCATTAGCATGTCGAGGACACGAGGTCAAGTTGGGCTGGCATCAGTAGGATTATATTCCCCTATATGCCAAGAGTTGCTTGTTGTTTAACGCCGCACTCAGCAATATTCCAGCTGTATGGCGGTGGTCTGTGAATAATCGTAGCCTAGTGGTTAAAGCCAGTGATCGTCAGCATGAGACCCAGCTGGGAACAATGACATGGGTCAACAATGTGTGAAGCCCATGAAATGTTGCTGAGTATTGTTCACACTATCAGGCCACTGGTTGTAAGGGAATATTGCTATGCTATCAGCCTCTGGTTTGGAGACAAACTAAATTATGTATAGGTGGTAGTGATTCACTTTTTGTATAATTATTATCACAAAGTTATTGTCAACCTAACTGCAACAATCCATGCTTATATGTGTATATGACAGTCATATCTTAAAAAATACAACCAAATACATCTGTTGAAGAATTCGGGTTGGAAGAATTCTATGACAGTTCCTTGACGCATCTGGCAAAATCTACTGATTTTCACAGCAAGTCTTCTTTCATCCATTCATCAGCTAATGTTTCCAATGTCACCACCTGTGATTCTACCCATGAAGGTCCGGGTTAGAATTGGTCTTCAGTAAACACGGCTTGTAGTAAGAGACAATCTACGGGATCGGGTGGTCAGGCTCGCTGGCTTGGTTGACACATGTCATTGGTTCCTATCTGCTCGATGCTCATGCTGTTGATCACTGGATTGTCTGGTCCAGACTCAATTATTTACAGACCGCCACCATATAGCTGGAACAGGGGTGGAAATAACTAGTGTACTGCAGTACAGTGGCACATGTAAAATCACTTGCCCTGATCATTTTTCCACTATACCGCCTTTTTCTTGTTGATTTTCTAAAATAAACAACATAATTAGCATTGGAAAGTCATCTGGACACGATACAGTGTGATATACAAATTTGCTTGCCTGACAGAAAAAACCACTGGACTCGGACGTCGGGCAATGGGTTATTTCCACCCCTGTGGAATATTGCTGAGTTTGACATAAAACTAAACTCACTCACTTACTTACTCATCCATTCATCAGCTAATGTTTCCAGTGTCACCACCTGTGATTCTAACTGAAATATCATCAATCTCAGCGTCCCACTCACTCATCATGGGGAGAACTTCTGTTTCAGCAACAAATTTCAAAACATTTTCTTTCAGATTCTGGGGCGGTGGGTCAGCCTAGTGGTTTTGCTTGTCATGCTGACGACCCATGTTCGATTCCCTACATGGGTACATGGGCACATTGTGTCACTGGCAGTGATATTGCTTGGATATTGCTGAAACTAAACTCCCTCGCTCTTTCAGATTTTCCAGAATATATGTTGACATGACACCTAGTTTGCCAAGTCTGAAATTTGATGAGTTTGTGTTGGTTATTCCAGCACCAGGCCGTGAAGCGACACAATGAAGCCTGGCGTGACAGCCTGCGGTACCGCCGCCCTGACCTCGACCGCATGCCTGGCATCCGCCGTATCACCATCAACAGCAACCCCATGCTGGGAGACGAGGGGGCCACAGTGCTGGCGGAGGCTCTCAAAGACGACCTGTGGCTTAAAGGTAGGGGGCTGAGTAACCGTGTGGCAGAGGGAAGCTGGGGAGGGCCGATGGGCTCGACCCGCTTTCCTGATTCCGAGAGTTTACTTTTTCAAACAAAACCGAGGAAGGATTTTGATCCAACTTACGAAAACCGACCGAAGATATACTTAAGATATACTTTAGATATAATTTTGATATTTGGTATTTACCGTTGAAATCAACTGGGACTAGCAGCCGATACCTTGCTTGCACGCGCAATGCACATGCTCTGCATTTGTTACCTGTGTCCTGCATGTGCGCTGCCCGTCTTGTGAGGAACACATGGTTCATACTGACAAACAGTCGCATTTTACAAAGCGATCCTTCGTAGCTTAGTGGATAACATCGCCAAGAATGAAAGCGAAGGGTTCCAGGTTCGAAACTAGGCATCGGTACAATATATTGGAAGTTTCAATAATGTGATATTTTACGATCGCATTCCTTAATAGGAAGACAAAGTTATCAATCTTCAAAACAAGTAAAATAATTCAAAGTCAAAGGCTATTCCTCAGTAGATACTCGGGCTGTAGAAAATCCCTGGGATGCAGGCAATTTGGTAGAAAATTTGGGATTTCTAGGAAATGCCTGTTGGATTGAGGTTTAATCGGTAAAAGGAGAACCTGGCGAGACAATAGAGTGAGTACACTAAAGTACTGTCGGAATTAGAACAAACTTTTTTGGCTGTTACTCTGTATCCCTAAAATTAACACAGTTGCAAATAGCATATGTCGAAATAACCCACTTCGGCCTAACTTGGCATTCAGTGGGACGCGTAATAGGATATCCAGAAAAGCATGTTTACTCGTAAAATCGGGCAAAACTTTCGAAAAAATTCGAATAGCTGCTTGAAACAATAGATCAGACTATAGATGACAATTTTTAAGTCGCTCGGCCAGGTATGATGAAGGACCGTCGACACACCGAGCATGAAATGCAAGTGCTGCCTACAGGCACATGAGGTCATCTCAAAGATATTCTATGCGTTTTCTTGTGTGTTGAATATGTCTCAAATATTGATTAACATCTAACATGTCTTTTTTTCTTAAAGTTTATGTTGAGATATGTAAAACAGTATGATACTCATAGAAAGGCTTAAATCAGCCATCATATTAAATGTCTCAAAATATATAGGTAGCATAGCCACCCGGTGATCGACGACTGGATATTATTTGTACATTGTTACTTCCCCAATTTAATTCCCTTATAAGGATTATGTTATCTTAGCTGATATCTCTGTCCCCCATGCAGCCCGACCCTAACCATCGTCTGCGACACCCGACCAGGTTTTGCTTTTAAGACGACCCCTCATGTCTGTTTGTTTATATAGTGGTAGTGAGACTCCATGGTAGCTACACCCTTTATAGTTTCACAAGTAAACATATTATTTTGTACATCAGCTATCCTTTCTAATGAAGCTAAGTCTAATTTCAAAATGGGCATTTAAAAAGTGTCCTTTGTAATACAATATCATCGCACACTAATTTGCATAAAGCCATGGTCTGTTCCAAATAAGTCGACTTGGACTTAGAAAAAAACCACATTGCTCATTTCTGCACTAATCTCTCCTCAGTAAAGTTATTTTTTTACGTTTCTTATCTCACTACCACGGAGACTGTAGTTAGGCCGAACTTAGTTTAACAGATATTTCACACTTTCTCATATTAACTTCATAAATTGTGGATCTAAATGTGAAACAACAGTTTTTGTCTATTTCCGACAGTACTTTAGATGTTTATAAGTTTAGGACTAAAGGTGTTCTTGGGCAAGTGATGTTCAATTATTTTGGGGCTAATGGAGTTCTGGGGCAAATGTTTTTCTCATTGTTTTCTAGGGTTAAGTGTGTTCAAGGGTTCTGGGGCAATTTCTGTTTTAGGGTTTTAGGGCTAAATATGTCGAGTTTCAGGGCAATCATTGTTATAGAGATAACTGTGTTGTAAGGTTCTTAGACGAAAATGACACAAATAGGGTTCAGGGTCTTATCTACTTACAAACCCAATGATGTAACTGCAGGTGAATTTAAAGTACTAACAACATGATTGTGGGTCTTTGTTGTAATGATGTTCCTGTATTATTGTTGTTTTTCTATAATGATGTTTATTTGTTAGGGCTGGGTATTGCAGAGAATTTTCATATTGCAATATATTGCGATGCGAAAGCAGATATTGTGATATGTATAGCAATATATTGCAAGAAGTTCTTTTTTAACAAAAACTACTTATAATCGAGTTAATGCTTGATTTATAAAGCAAAAACACAACAAAATCACCATGCTTGATTAAGCTTAATAAAAGCTTTTAATCATGACAAAATAAAAATGTAAAAAATATTTGGCACTCATAAAAAAAGGAAAGGAACAATTTATAAAACGGAAATATCCGAAGATTTCCAAGTGTTACGAAGTTTTCCGAATGCATGTCAAAATACCGGTTTTCGATCAGCGTATTGCAATACGTATCGTTTTCATGTCTGAACCGGTATATACCGTTAAACCGGTTATATTGCGCAGCCCTATTATTTGTTATTGTTGTTTTTCTATAATGATGTTTATTTGTTACTGTTGTTTTTCTATAATGTTGTTTATTTGTTACTGTTGTTTTGCTATAATGATGTTACCGTGTTATATCAATGTTCTTGTGTTCCAGCCCTGGACATGCAAGGCTGCGGTATCTCCACCAGTGGTGCCCGCGTCCTCCTGGACGTCCTCAAGTACAACACCACCCTGGTGGTCCTGGATGTCCGAGCCAATCCACTGATCAGTCAGTACTAGAGTCCTTCTCAAAACACCCATGCCCCTATCTACCCATCAGACTACTGCTGACATAAATCATGAAAATAATAGTATCCAGACAACATCTGCTTCATGCTGACATGGGCCGGTGGGGTAGCCTAGTGGTTAAAGCGTTCACTCACTCGTCACGCCGAAGGCCTGGGTTCTATTCCCCACATGGGTACAATGTGTGAAGCCCATTTCTGGTGTCCCCTGTAATATTGCCGGAATATTGCTAAAATCGGCGTAAAACCAAACTCACTCACTCATGCTGACATAAATATTCGTTGCTGGAATAATTATGATAATAATAATATATTTATAGAGCAACGGACACAACAAATCATCTTCTGTCTGTGTGTATTTACCCGTGAAGGTCCGGGTTAGAATGAACCTTCAGCAACCCATGCTTTTCGTAAGAGGCGACTAACGGGATTGTGTGGTCAGGCTCCCTGGCTTGGTTGACACAAGTCATCGGTTCCCAATTGCGCAGATCGATGCTCATGCTGTTGATCACTGGATTGTCTGGTCCAGACTCGATTATTTACAGACCGCCGCCATATAGCTGGAATATTGCTGAGTGCGGTGTAAAACTAAACTCACTCACTCACTCACTCACTCACTCACTGTGTGTTTTTATGGTTACTAACATATTAGTAAACTGACAAAATACTTCAACAACGTGTTTTCTGCCACAGACCGAGAGCTAGTGCACTCTATCATGGAGCAGCTGATGATCAACAGCAACGGCCAGGACACCGAGGTCAGCATCTTCATCGTTGTAGTCACTGTTTGCATCTTCTGCAACAAAATACATTTCTTGTTTACATTCCAACCCTAAACAACTCCCCATCCCTAACAAAAAACACAACCCAAGTGTGCGTAGTGAATCTGCAATTTATGTCTCCCCCCGAACATAACTCTTTACCAAATTTTGTATACTTGATACCAATTATTAGTAAACTTAGAAGGATAAACCATATACATGTACTTCTATAAAACATGTACAGAACTGTAACCTAAATTCGTGGATAACCTTGATTCGTGGATCGTGGAAATAATCATGCTAGCTCGTAAATAAAGTCTGGACTGATGTCACGAAGCAGTACTTTTGATGTACATACAATGCCACGCCTTGCTGACAAAAAAGTTCCGAATCTCTGTATTACACGCAAGTACACTAAATGTAATTGACCAGGTTTGAGATAAATAGCCCCAGATCTCTAATACCACCATTACCAAATTTTATTTTTACAAAATGTCAAGTAAAGATAGCGTTAGCTCCAACCTTCTCACTTCTCGTTGTCTGCTTTCCTTGGTGTCAATACTTACTGCAGTGGGATGTCGTACACAGTGGTATAAAGTAACCGACTACGTAATCCACAAAACAAGATGACATCACATTTTGTGTGCACACAAATGGGTGTTGATTGCAAATGGCTCCCGTAAACAAACGTTTCATTCACGAGTGGAATATTAGGCATTTTCAATTTGCTGAATCAGTGAATAAAATAATCAGTGCTTATACAAAATGAAATCATGCATTTAAAATATGAACTTTGCCGCACTTCCCTTATATCCATGAATCAAGGTTACGCGAGTGTATAAAATGTTGAAGGAATCAAATGAATTGTTTGAGGTCTCAACGTTGAATTCGGGGAAGGGGGGATATCTGTTTTTACGAGTGAAAACACTTTCTAGTTCTATTCTGTTTTGAAGTTATTCATTGTCTAACCTGTCCAGATGACCATATTGAGAAACTATTTTGTCACAATTAGAAAATGAATGATCTGTGTTTCTTTTTAATCTCCGAATTAAAGTTTGGAGATGAAATTTTGTGAACGAAAATAAAGACAAAACTGAACCAATTGCCTGAACGTGGGCACACTCAACTCTCAACTCACTCACTCACTCACTCCAGTCTGTGTTTGTTTCACCTCATCTCAGTACAAATGGATCAAGGCAGAGGAGCCTGTTGATCCTAAGAAGGTACGGAATCGGAGACGTGTGACTCGCGGCCTCAACCACAGCGTGGCTAAGAAGACCACGATCAGGGTGAGTCTGTATAGCTGGTTGTCTAGGTGATAGTCTGGGGGTGCTTGGGTAGTCTAGTGGTTAAAGCGTTCGCTCGTCACGCCGAAGGCCCGGGTTTGATTCCCCAGTGGGTACAATGAGTGAAGCCCATTTCTGGTGTCCCTCGCTGTGATATTGCTGGAATATTGCTAAAAGTTACGTAAAACTAAACTCTCTCACTATTACTGATCATGATGATGTAACTAATATTTTAGATCTATATTTTCTATAAAACTAAATGCAGTCACTCACTCATGATATTCTGCCTCGAAGACATCACTGCACATTCCGTATTAACAACATCAGTGACTGGTTGTCTTGAACATCACCCAAAGGATAATGTCTGACAGACCAATACAGTCAATCAAACAACCAGCATAGATGAAACTGATGAAGCAAAATAACGAATCTCCATGTAGCATGTTGTTTAATTTAAATGCCAAAATCAAGGCATGGATATGTCCCCCTTTCAATTATGTTGGTGATTATGGACACTATACTGGCGTACCTATAACAGGTTATGGCAGAGACTCTTACCACAGGGGCCGGTCGGTTAGCCTAGTGGTTAAAGCGTTCACTCGTCACGCTGAAGGCCCAGGTTAGATTCCCCACATGGGTACAATGTGTGAAGCCCATTTCTTGTGTCCCCCACCGTGATATTGCTGGAATATTGCTAAAAGTGGCGTAAAACTAAACTCACTCACTCACTCACTGTCCAGAGTATTTGCAGACTAGTGTGATATAGGATTATTGCTGATGTCCACAAGTGCCGCTGTTGACTAAAAGTGTGAACAATGGCTCCAGTTTTAGAGCAGTGCTGTTGACTTCGTTTCAGATCAGCTCCAACTCTGCCCGGCGCCGAGCCCGACCAGGGACTGGATTCCTGAACACGTCTCGCCCCAGCCCCGGTCTGCCCTGGAGGACTGCAGCCAGAGCCAACAGATACAAGTGAGGGATTACATTCTATGTTATGCAGACTATCTGGACACATATGGCTGGATAAACAGGGGTTCACAGACAACACATCCTCACATTCTTCTCACAAGTGTAGCTTGCACAATGAGATGCACAATGCAATTTGAAAGTTAAATGTCTTAGGAAAATTTGCTGAATACAGACTAACGTAAAGCCTCAACACCAATAGGCAGACTAGCGTGAAGCCTTAACACCAATAGGAAGACTAACGTAAAGCCTTAACACCAATAGGCAGACTAACGTAAAGCCTTAACACCAATAGGCAGACTAACGTAAAGCCTTAACACCAATAGGAAGACTAACGTAAAGCCTTAACACCAATAGGCAGACTAACGTAAAGCCTTAACACCAATAGGCAGACTAGCGTAAAGCCTTAACACCAATAGGCAGACTAACGTAAAGCCTTAACACCAATAGGCAGACTAACGTGAAAAGCCTTAACACCAATAGGCAGACTAACGTAAAGCCTTAACACCAATAGGCAGACTAACGTAAAGCCTTAACACCAATAGGCAGACTAACGTAAAGCCTTAACACCAATAGGCAGACTAGCGTGAAGCCTTAACACCAATAGGAAGACTAACGTAAAGCCTTAACACCAATAGGCAGACTAGCGTAAAGCCTTAACACCAATAGGAAGACTAACGTAAAGCCTTAACACCAATAGGCAGACTAACGTAAAGCCTTAACACCAATAGGAAGACTAACGTAAAGCCTTAACACCAATAGGCAGACTAACGTAAAGCCTTAACACCAATAGGCAGACTAGCTGAAGCCTTAACACCAATAGGAAGACTAACGTAAAGCCTTAACACCAATAGGCAGACTAGCGTAAAGCCTTAACACCAATAGGCAGACTAGCGTGAAGCCTTAACACCAATAGGAAGACTAACGTAAAGCCTTAACACCAATAGGCAGACTAGCGTAAAGCCTTAACACCAATAGGAAGACTAGCGTAAAGCCTTAACACCAATAGGCAGACTAACGTAAAGCCTTAACACCAATAGGAAGACTAACGTAAAGCCTTAACACCAATAGGCAGACTAACGTAAAGCCTTAACACCAATAGGCAGACTAGCGTGAAGCCTTAACACCAATAGGAAGACTAACGTAAAGCCTTAACACCAATAGGCAGACTAGCGTAAAGCCTTAACACCAATAGGCAGACTAACGTAAAGCCTTAACACCAATAGGCAGACTAACGTAAAGCCTTAACACCAATAGGCAGACTAGCGTAAAGCCTTAACACCAATAGGCAGACTAACGTAAAGCCTTAACACCAATAGGCAGACTAGCGTAAAGCCTTAACACCAATAGGCAGACTAGCGTAAAGCCTCAACACCAATAGGCAGACTAACGTAAAGCCTTAACACCAATAGGCAGACTAGCGTAAAGCCTCAACACCAATAGGCAGACTAGCGTAAAGCCTTAACACCAATAGGCAGACTAACGTAAAGCCTTTACACCAATAGACAGACTAACAATAGGCAGAAAGCCTTAACACCAATAGGCAGACTAGCGTAAAGCCTCAACACCAATAGGCAGACTAGCGTAAAGCCTCAACACCAATAGGCAGACTAGCGTAAAGCCTCAACACCAATAGGCAGACTAGCGTTAAGCCTCAACACCAATAGGCAGACTAGCGTAAAGCCTCAACAACACCAATAGGCAGACTAGCGTAAGCCTTAACACCAATAGGCAGAGGCAGCCTCAACACCAATAGGCAGAACGAAAGCCTTAAAAGCCGTAAAGCCTCAACACCAATAGGCAGACTGCAAGGCCTTAACACCAATAGGCAGAAAGAAAGCCTCAACACCAATAGGCAGACTAGCGTAAAGCCTCAATAGCACCAATAGGCAGACTAGCGTAAAGCCTCAACACCAATAGGCAGACTAGCGTTAAGCCTTAACACCAATAGGCAGACTAACGTAAAGCCTCAACACCAATAGGCAGACTAACGTAAAGCCTTAATAACAATAGGCAGACTAACGTAAAGCCTTCACACCAATAGGCAGACTAGCGTAAAGCCTTAACACCAATAGGCAGACTAACGTAAAGCCTTAACACCAATAGGCAGACTAGCGTAAAGCCTTAACACCAATAGGCAGACTAACGTAAAGCCTCAACACCAATAGGCAGACTAACGTAAAGCCTCAACACTAATTGGCAGACTAACGTAAAGCCTCAACACCAATAGGCACACTAACGTAAAGCCTTAACACCAATAGGAACGAGGCCCGGATAGCGGAAGGTCGCGGGTTCGATCCCCGACAGCGTCATACCAAAAGACGTTAAAATATGGTACTTGTTGGTCCCTGCCTGGCGCTCAGCATTAATGGGTACAACAACGACTGGTTGGCTCACTGCAGCATGGTATCTCAGTGGGCTAGCACTATAAAACCAGCTTAAGCCTGGACTAGTACAAGCAGCCGCACATACACATACACACGCATGCACGTCGTCATATGAGCGAAATATTCTCAATCCCGACGCTAAACCCAATTTCACCTCACCTCAATAGGAATGAGAGTTTCTGGACACAGATTCACAATCTTGAATTCTGTGTCATGTCTTGCAGGGGCTACCCACCCGAGCACACACCTGGCAAGCTGAGTATTGAGGAGAACAGCGAGATGGACACCAACCGCAGCACCTCTGTCATCATCACCCGTGACGACAGCATCCTCGACGATACCAACAATACCTTCCAAGATCTGCAGCCTCTTGACTTCAGCAACCTCTCCATTGACATGACCAACCCGAAAGAGGTCAAGGTCAGTGGAATGATATCCTGTTCGTTGAAAAGACGTTTAAAGATTTTGGCATTTATCCAGGCATTGACTTTAATGTTTGTGCTTTGTTTGAAAATTCTTACTGAATATTTTTGGCCTTAGACTCAGGGGTGGAAATAACTTTAAAATTGCTAGTGTACTCCGGTACAGTGACACATGTAAAATCACTTGCCCTGATCATTTTTCCTCTAAGCCGACCGTTTTCTTGTTGATTTATTAAATAAACAACATAATTAACATTGGAAAGTCAACTGGACAATTTGTGATATACAAATTTGCTTGCCCAACAGATAAAAACACTGGACTCGGACGTCGGGCAATGGGTTATTTCCACCCGTGCTTAGAGATGAGATGACACAGGGTTTAACATTGTACTTAAGAATATGTTGCTCATATGACGACGTGCATGCGTGTGTATTGTACTAGCCCAGACTGAAGCTGGTTTTATAGTGCTAGCCCACTGAGATACCATGCCGCAGTGAAGCAGGAATACCCCACTCAGACACATTATACTGACTCTGAGCCGACCAGTCCTTGTTGTACCCATTAATGCCGAGCGCCAGGCAGGGACCAACCAGTACCATCTTTTATCATCTTTTTGGGATTGAACCGGCAACCTTCCGCTGTGCGGGCGGACGCTCTAACCACTACACCACGGAGGCAGTTTGTCCGTAGAAAATATCCCTAGTACTTTATTGCTTGTTGTAAAAACGGGACACTGCTTTGTGATTTGGTTGATTGTGAGACATCAGAATCAGACCATGTGTTCATAATGTCAACCACAGGTTGTCTGTCCAGAGTAGGGGCTGTGGGGTAGCCGAGTGGTTAAGGTGTTCGCTTGTCCCACCGAAGACCCAGGTTCGATTCCCCACATGGGTACAATGTGTGAAGCCCTTTTCTGGTGTCCCCCGCCATGATATTGCTTGAATATTGCTAAAAGGGGCGTAAAACTAAACTCACTCACTCACTTACTGTCCAGAGTATGTGCAGACTGGTGTGAGATAAGATTATTGCTGATATCGACAAACAATATTTACTGGTGGCTGGACCAGAGTGCCTAGTGATCGATATCATGAACAGCCATCCACACTGTCAGGGTATGTTGCCATGCTATCAACCATGTCACTGAGTTGTTCCAGTATACCGAGTATCTGTGTTGCAGGTGGAGATGGAGATGTTGCGACGGAGTCTTAAGGAGGAGAGTGTGGCGAGGATGAAGGCGGAGCAGAGAGAACTCAGGGTGAGTCACCAAATGTAGCAGTAGGATGGTAACGACAGTGTCAGTCCATGATGATGATGATGATGGTGATGAGGATGAGGATGGTGATGATCCAAATCTAGTGACCATTCCTAATTTATGGCTGGGGGGGTGTGATGATGGTTTTTATGAGAAGCATGTACAATGTGAATGACCCCCCCGAAAATTTGTGTACAAAGTGAGTGACCTCCCCTGGATGTACAAAATCAACGACCCCCCATCCCTCAAAATTTTCAAGAATATTTTTTTTAACTATTCCTACGTACAAAATTGCTGAACCCCCCATCCTCCAAGTAGATGGATACAAAATTGATGACCCCCCTACCTCCCCAGAACAAAATGGGTGCCCCCCACCTCCCTTTAAAATCTCTCCTTATTAATCGGAGTTATGTCCCTTATTTGCACTTAGATTCAGAGTTTTGTCAAATGCTCATATCAATATTAATATTCATAATGTTGTGTCCCTTAATTGTGCTACAATTTGCTCTGCCTGGCGCTCAGCATTAATGGGTACAACAAGGACTGGTCGGCTCGGAGTCAGTATAATGTGTCTGAGTAGGGTATTCATGCTTCACTGCGGCATGGTATCTCAGTGGGCTAGCACTATAAAACCAGCTTCAGTCTGGGCTAGTACAAGCAGCCACACATACACATACACACGCATGCACGTCGTCATATGAGTGAAATATTCTCAAGCACGACGTAAAACCCAATTTCACCTCACCTCACCTCACCTCACCTCACTACAATTTGCTGTTTTGATGGTTTGACTCCGAGTTCTGGCTGAACATGATACTGCTTTCTTAACACCATATCATTACTTGACCTAAACTGGTACACATGCAGCATAAAGACATTCCTTTGAAACAGAAAAGCTCTTCAAAATAATGGCGAGCATGAGTAACACCTCCAGTCGCTCCATCTCCAACGCTGACAGCCGACAAATAACAACACCTGTGATGTGTCTGGCTAAATGCTTCAGGATACCTGAATTAATAGAAACTAGTTTTTTTATGAATTAAACTTGCTTCATAACATGTAGGGGGCAGGGTGTAGCCTAGTGGTTAAAGCGTCCGCTCGTCACGCCGACGACCTGGGTTCGATTCCCCATATGGGTGAGATGTGGAAGCCCATTTCTGGTGTCCCGTGCTGTGATATCGCTGAGTATTGCTAAAAGCAGCGTAAAACCATACTCACTCACTCACTCACTCACTCACTCCTCATAACATGTGGTATATATGATCTTTTCCAAACTAGTCATACTGTAAAACGTGCTGTAGCACATATCTGATACGTCATGTGTATACTACTTGTCGTATTTAAGTAGATGTGTGGGTGCCACGATTTAGAGTGAACATCAGAGTGATTGATGTAGGTGTCCAAATTACTAAGGGCGTCTTAGGTTTCAATTTTTGTAAACTTTGTGTTAACAGTTGAGCATTGAGAACAAGCGTCTCAGTGAGGAGATGAAGTACCTCCGACACAAGGCCAGCGCTGGGGGAATCGTCAGCGATGTCCATCTGGGCATGAATGGTGGCCACGGGGCCTTCGTCGACGAGAGCTTCCTGGAGGGAGTGGAGGCCTCATTTAAGAAGTTCCACAAGTTTCTGGACATGCTGCATGAAGCGGGGTAAGGACTTGTAGGGAGTAAGGAAATACTGCATGAAGGATAGGGATATACTGCATGAAGGGTAAGGATATACTGCATGAAGGATAGGGATATACTGCATAAAGGATAGGGATATACTGCATGAAGGATAGGGATATACTGCATAAAGGATAGGGATATACTGCATAAAGGATAGGGATATACTGCATGATGGATAGGGATATACTGCATGAAGGATAAGGATATACTGCATGAAGGATAGGGATATACTGCATGAAGGATAGGGATATACTGCATGAAGGATAGGGATATACTGCATAAAGGATAGGGATATACTGCATGAAGGATAGGGATATACTGCATGAAGGGTAAGGATATACTGCATGAAGGATAGGGATATACTGCATGAAGGATAGGGATATACTGCATGAAGGATAGGGATATACTGCATGAAGGATAGGGATATACTGCATGAAGGATAGGGATATACTGCATGAAGGAAAGGGATATACTGCATGAAGGATAGGGATATACTGCATGAAGGATAGGGATATACTGCATGATGGATAGGGATATACTGCATGATGGATAGGGATATACTGCATGAAGGGTAAGGATATACTGCATGAAGGGTAGGGATATACTGCATGAAGGGTAGGGATATACTGCATGAAGGATAGGGATATACTGCATGAAGGAAGGATATACTGCATGAAGGATACTACTGCATGAAGGGTAGGGATATACTGCATGAAGGGTAAGGATATACTGCATGAAGGATAGGATATACTACATGAAGGATAGGGATATACTGCATGAAGGATAAGGATATACTGCATGAAGGATAGGGATATACTGCATGAAGGATAGGGATATACTGCATGACATGAGGATATACTGCATAAGGATAAGGATATACTGCATGAAGGATAGGGATATACTGCATGAAGGGAAAGGGATATACTGCATGAAGGGATAGGGATATACTGCATGAAGGGAGTAGGGATATACTGCATGAAGGGTAAGGATATACTGCATGAAGGATAGGGATATACTGCATGAAGGGTAGGGATATACTGCATGAAGGATAGGGATATACTGCATGAAGGATATACATGAAGGATAGGGATATACTGCATGAAGGGTAGGGATATACTGCATGAAGGATAGGATATACTGCATGAAGGATAGGGATATACTGCATGAAGGATAGGGATATACTGCATGAAGGGTAAGGATATACTGCATGAAGGGTAAGGAAATACTGCATGAAGGGTAAGGATATACTGCATGAAGGATAAAGATATACTGCATGAAGGATAAGGATATACTGCATGAAGGATAAGGATATACTGCATGAAGGAAAGTGATATACTGCATGAAGGATAGGGATATACTGCATGAAGGATAGGGATATACTGCATGAAGGATAGGATATAAGGATAAGGATATACTGCATGAAGGATAGGGATATACATGCATGAAGGATAGGGATATACTGCATGAAGGATAGAAGGATATACTGCATGAAGGATAGGGATATACTGCATGAAGGATAGGGATATACTGCATGAAGGATAGGGATATACTGCATGAAGGATAGGGATATACTGAAGGATAGGGATATACTGCATGAAGGATAGGGATATACTGCATGAAGGATAGGGATATACTGCATGAAGGATAGGGACATGCTGCATGGAAGGGGATAAGGATATACTGCATGAAGGATAGGGACATGCTGCATGGAAGGCGGTAAGGATATACTGCATGAAGGATAGGGATATACTGCATGAAGGATAGGGATATATTGCATGAAGGAAGGGATATACTGCATGATGGATAGGGATATACTGCATGAAGGATAGGGATATACTGCATGAAGGATAGGGACATGCATGGAAGGATGAAGGATAGGGACATGCTGCATGGAAGGCGGTAAGGATATGCTCTATGAAGGGTAAGGAAATACTGCATGACGGATAGGGATATACTGCATGAAGGATAGGGATATACTACATGAAGGGTAAGGATATACTGCATGAAGGATAGGGATATACTACATGAAGGGTAAGGATATACTGCATGAAGGAAAGGGATATACTGCATGAAGGATAGGGATATACTATATGAAGGGTAAGGATATACTGCATGAAGGATAGGGATATACTACATGAAGGGTAAGGATATACTGCATGATGGATAGGGATATACTGCATGAAGGATAGGGATATACTGCATGAAGGATAGGGACATGCTGCATGAAGGATAGGGATATACTGCATGAAGGATAGGGACATGCTGCATGGAAGGTGGTAAGGATATGCTGCATGAAGGATAAGGATATACTGCATGAAGAATAAGGATATAATGCATGAAGGATAGGGATATACTGCATAAAGGATAGGGATATACTGCATGAAGGATAGGGATATACTGTATGAAGGATAGGGATATACTGCATGAAGGTAAGGATATACTGCATGAAGGGTAAGGAAATACTGCATGAAGGATAAGGATATACTGCATGAAGGATAAGGATATACTGCATGATGGATAGGGGTATACTGCATGAAGGATAAGGATATGCTGCATGAAGGTGGTAAGGACACGTCTTATACACCAAAGTTCAAGTTAAGTTACCATCTGAACACCTTTAATGTGTTTTTCTGATGGTTGTATTTGTCTCCACAGACTGAGTGAGCTGATCACAATGGCAGGACTGGACCAGTCGGACATCATGAACCCCTTCGACCATCTGTCCTCCACGCGACTGTCGGGTGTCTCCTTTGCGAAAAACAACACTCCTGTCAGCAAACCCTCTCACTCTAACGGCGTGGACCTGTCCGTCCCTACCTCAGCCATGCCAATTGCCAAAGCGGAGCCATCCTCATCTCAAGGTATGCAGCAACAGATGGCGTTCGGTACTAAGCCATTTGTGCCAAACACATCAGCCTATTTTGGCGACATTTCGTCCAGTTACCGTGCCAACCCCAATGTCGGGTCATTTGAAGAGGAGCTGCCGATTACTTATGGGCCAGTCGTGTCTGAGAATAACCTTCGACCTGGTGCCAGAGTTCAAGCAGCAGGGTCAAGGATGCCGTTCCCAACCAACGAGTCTATTATCGGGGGTCCGGCAAGGACGGATGACCTTTATGAGAAGTTGCTGCAGGATACAAGTGGAGTCTTCCCCCATATTGGACAGGACGGTGCCGGGTCACCTGCCGGATCTCTGACCTCGACCCCGGTTGTCAAGAGCACCGAGAGCAAGGCTGGGCCAGTGAAGACGACACAACCCGGGCAGGAGGGGCAGAGGAGAAAAGAAGAAAAAGAGGACGCGAAAGGGAGAGGGGAAGATAAAGATCGCCCTGACAACAGAAAACCCAAATCGGATAAAGGACATGGCCCCTCTGGTGCTGGGTCAGAGGTCAGGGCAAGGTCACAAGGTGAAGGTCAGGATGCTTCCAAACAGTTTGATGTCTCCGAGCAATCAGAGATAATCGAGGTTCTTGATCGTGCTGCCTCTCCACAAAAAGAATCTCCTGAGCACAAATCCAAAATGAGTGATTTTAACTACAGTATGGACAGTTTTGACCAATCATATGTCAGCGAGAGGGAGGAGGTCATTCACCTTGGAGATGACCTTGACCTTGGAGGTTCACCATCACCACCGCCACAAGCTGTCGAAAGTGAGGAAGATTTTTAGACCCTGCTGAATATGTAAATCTCGACTCTTGTTTTGAGCAATCCTTTTCTTTACTTTCATTACTTCTGTTTTCTTTCATTTTGTGTTACCAAGTCCCAGCCTTAGTGCTCCTAATTGTAGAAAAATGTGTTAGTGTAAATAACATATTTTGTGTACATAGAGGGAAGATAGATCACCAAATGACTAAATATTAAAAGATGCATTGTAGACTTTAGGTAAGTTGTTCATAATATTTCATGGGTTTATATACACCACATGCCACAATTGCCATGACTACAATGACAGTGTTATCAGATTCACTATACATCTGAGGGAAGAATGTGGCATACGGAAACTGTATATGTTGTATACCATTAGGGGAGATGGGGCGGTGGGGTAGCCTAGTGGTTAAAGCGTTCGCTTGTCACGCCGAACACCCGGGTTCGATTCTCCACATGGGCACAAATGTGTGAAGCCCATTTCTGGTGTCCCTGGATGTGATATTGCAGAATATTGCTAAAAGTGGTGTAAAACCATACTCACTCCCTCATATTCACTGGACACAAAATAGATGTATGTCACCACCACTGTATGTCAATGTGTCGACGATGACGGAGAAATAGTGTTCATAAACCTTTGAAGTATGAATGATACTGTATTAATGTAGGTAGTACTCAGTGTAAAAGGAATGCATTAAATATGAGTGAATTCTCTCAAATAGTCATCATAGCAAGGTTGCAATATTCTCTCATTCAAATATCCAAAATATGAAACCGATGAACATTATCATTCAGGCTTAAAATAAAAAAATGTTGTGGTTCCGATTACCTGACCGACCCTTGAATTCTGGTGCCAACCATGTTTTTTAAGCGGTCTGAATAAAATAAGCTTTCAGATACCACTATGTTTTCCCGGCACCAACAGATATCAGTCATTCTGATAGAGAAAGTTGATATGATGGCCGCAAGCTTGACTGAATAAACAATTACTGATACATGTGTTATTAGTTTGTACTTTCCTTCTAAAACAAATATGTAAAAAAAAATTTCCTACCTACCCTAAATTTTAAAGTGTAATCGGAGCCACAACATTTTTTTTTTATTTGGTCTCATCATTGAGGGTGGAGTATGTTTTGCAATACTATAAACTGTTTCTTTGTACTTTAAGTAGTTTATCAGTTCTCAAGAGTTTCAAATACTGAAGGCTAATTGTTTAAGTGTTGCAGCACTGAGAGGCTCCTCCAACATAATTCTGACATACCACGACAAACTGGAAGACAGTTCGAAATGGCGTTAAACCAACCTCTCATACTCATTCACAAGATATGAAAGCCATCTAGGTCTCTTCATTTCCTCCGCCGTGATGTTGCTGGAATATTGCTAAAAGCGGAGTAAAACCAAACTCAGTCAGTCAGTCTTCATTTCCTACTGCCAGCCCATGCCCAAATTGATAAAAAATATTCCGATTTTTGGGGGATCTTAAACATGACTAGATGGTTGTTTGACAACCATGTTTCAGAAAGAGGTTGGGTCAAGCATGTTTATCTCCCTTTGGGATGAAGCAAGATGCTGATTTGATACTGTGTGTGACCGATCCCAATGCAAGATTCCAATAGGTCATTGTAGAATGTGTTACTGCTAATGGAGCATTCAGAGAGCTTTACTAAAAGATTATAATAACTGATATGATATTAATAACCCATTTATAATGCATCAGATTCCATTAACAGAGTTCTTGCTCTAGGCTATAGACTGTTCTTAACCAGACTGTGTAGAAATGTACCATTAAAAGTTTTCTCAACTTCCTGAGGAGTATAGCACCCAAGTAGCATGATGTATTTGTTTGCTGTTGTAGTATCACTAATTTCACTATAATCAAATCAGGTCCTGTATTGGAACCATGTCTGTGATACTCTTTTTTCCATGTATATTTTGTGTGAGATTTAGGTATTCTGAAATCAAGATATTTTGATTTTGAATATTTAGAAATTTGAATTTTCTTCATTCCATGTGTACCAATGTATACTGAACAGCAAAAGAAACGCAACTCTGGTTTTTCGTGAAGGTTTTAAATAGAAGACATAAACCTGAACACTTACTTTTATGAGATTTCATTTTTTCGAAACTTGCCTTTCTTTTGCTGTTCAGTATATATGTTTTCTTTTTGTTTTATTTTTTATGTTTTTTCATTGCATATATGAACACTAACACTGAATACTGTGAAACCTTGTTAATCCTTGTTATCCAGACTAAGAACACCGTCCGATTTGTACTGTTTGTATGCTAACAGATTTCCTTAACTTTTTATCAGTTTGGTTCCAACAAATGGCTCTCCTATGGTTAAAGAATCGCACCAATCGTGTCCATTATTTTATGGTTGGGGAAGCAGCTCATAACAACCTGGACGCTGAGCAATATGTCGCAGATAATTACATAGGCGTCATCAGTTGATGACGTGCCATCATGCATCAGTGCTCACAATATCAACCACTAAAGTAATAAATTAGGCATTATTAAAAAAACATTTGCAGTGAAGCACAAAATTTGATGAAACCATTCCCCCAAATATTCAGGATTACTAATTTGGGGTAAGGGGAGTGGTGAGGAAATTAAGTTTATTTTTTATATACAAACAGATCTTGATTATTCAAGACATTGTCTCATTGTTGTGTTAGGTGTCTGTATTAGTGAGGTTCATCTGTAGTGAGTTTTGAATGAAGTTTTCACTGTATAGCGTTCAGTATAACAATGAAAGATCTGTACACCTTACCAACTGTATATAGTCTGTGTATATGATCTCAGAAATAAATACACTTCTGTTTTTTTATATGCATGTTTGTTTTCCATATTTATAAAGACATTATTATAATTATAAAGTACATAATTATGAAGTTTATAACTCCACACGCAATGTATGCTAGAAGAGCACAAGACCACAACATGAAATACAGTCCAACAAGTACCCTACAGATACAACAACACAATCTGTAATAGGTCCACCTCTCATATATGTTTTATTACACAAATGACAATGAATACTTCAACCAGTCTTGGACCACAGGGTCTACATTTTCTAAGAAACAAGCAAACATCTATACAAATTGTCAAATTTATTCAACTGTTTGAAAATAACTCCAAAATGTGAAATAAACAAGACATTCATTTCAACACCTTCATTTTTAAAAAGTAATATATTACATTTTTATACTATTAATAAGTTAGGCTATAATGTATCCAGAATGCTATATTTTAGCTCTAAGGACAGGACCACATGCCATTAGCCTTCCTCCTGTTTGAAGCAGAGTTAAACCCAACTCACTCACTCACTCACTCACTGTACTGTATCATAATAAATATGCGACAGCACTAGCTTCTTTTTCATCACTAACTTAGCAAAGATTCTTCCTCGCTCACGAGTACTTACAGCCAAATGCATGCACAAACACACAAGTGCTCAACTTCAGTCTAAATATTCACGTCTGGACCAGATAATCCAGTGATTGATCAGGAAATTTGGTCTTTACAACCAGGTTGCAATGACATGCAATCAATTTAGTAACCATTAACTTTAGTTTTATTCCGCTTTTGATAATATTCCAGCAATATCATGGCAGGGGACACCAGAAATGGGCTTCACACATTGTACCCATGTCGGGAATCGAACCCGGGTCTTTGGCCTTACGAGCTAATGCATTAACCACTAGGCTACCCCACCACCCCATGCATGACAATCTCTTAAAACCTTTTCTTAACGAGAATTCCCACATATTTTTAATTACATAAAAAATATTTCATATGAATCATAAAAACAGAAGGAAAATAAAACAAATGTAACATTCTTAACCTCACACCTTTAACGAGGAAACCCAATAAACAATCATTAAAGACTATTATGGAGATTTGAGACAATTACATATATACAAAAAAGATTCATATAAATCATTAAAACAGAAGCAAACTAAAACAAATGTAACATTCTTAACCTCACACCTTTAACGAGAAAACCCAATAAACAATCATTAAAGACTATTAGGGAGATTTGAGACAATGCTTTCTGCTTTCCTCAACAAAAATGAGTTCAAGGAGAAAGGGTTTAAGATAAGCTTGTGTTAATCCAGCTTAGTATTTGTGTTAATCCAGGTTAAAAACTGTGTTGATCCAGAAGCCTTAGATACTGCTACACCTGAGCTTAGTAACGAGCTGGACACTGTCCACACCTGGTCAGACTGTAGTCTGATACTACAGGTCGAGTTACCACTGACCATTTCAGTGACCTGGATCTCATACACATCAACATCGTTTCTGTGTTCACACACTGAACACAACCATTCTGGTCCCTTGCAGGACGAGGCTTGGAGCAGTGTCAAACATTGTTCAAGGTACATTTTCATTGATTGGGATTGCTAAATTTGGATTCGGATGCTGGTTAAATGTGACCTGTGTTGATGTGACCTGTGTTGATGTGACCTGTGTTGATGTGACCCTGGGAAGGAACTGATGGCTTAGTGTCCCAGTGCTGTGTAGATGCAGTTGAACAACACCCATAACATTGTTCTTGATATCCAGTGCATGACATGGTCAGACTGTGACAATTTAAGGAAGAATCTGCTTGTAACATGATAGACAATCAAGTATTAAACCAGTGCAAGCAAGTGTACAGTTGAACAACACTCATAAAATTGTCCTTTGTGTCCAGTGCTTGATGTGGTCAGACAAGTGTAAGACAATTCAAAGAAGAATCTGCTTTGTATAGCGTCCAGTAACGTGAGAGACGAGCAAGTATTAACCCATAGTTAGTGAGTGTGCACTTGAACAACAAATTGTCCTTGGTGTCCTGATTCAAGGGAATTGTTCCACAGTATTGAAGAATCAAATTATCCAGGGACTGCTGATCCTTGAGCAATCAGGTACTGTTTCACAATACTGTTTCAGATGCTGTTTTGTTCTGAAGGAAGAAAATTGTTGAGAACATCCTGATTGAAGTGAGCTTATTCAAGAGCTCACCCCAGTACTCTTCCACAATGCTGTTTTGTTCTGAAGGAAGAAAATTGTCAAGTAAATCCTGATTGAAGTGAGCTTATTCAAGAGCTGACCCCAGTACTCTTCCACAATGCTGTTTTGTTCTGAAGGAAGAAAATTGTTGAGAACATCCTGATTGAAGTGAGCTTATTCAAGAGCTGACCCCAGTACTCTTCCACAATGCTGTTTTGTTCTGAAGGAAGAAAATTGTCCAGGAAAACCTGATTCAAGTGAATAATCCAAGAACAATTCAGTCCTCTTTACAGAAAAAAACAGTCCATGAAATTATCCCAGAAATGTTTTATCCTTTGTAGAAATGAATACATCAAGTTCTGATGGTGATAGCTTGTGATCACACTTAGCTTCCTTCTTGGGACGCGTCTCTCAGCAGTAGACAGCGCCAGATTAAAGGACAAGATTTATGTGTACTAAGACAAAAACGAGGAATGTTAAATAGAACTGTTCCAGTGTGTGGAATTTACAAATATGTGATCTGGGAAACTTTGAACTTTATGAAACTTGTGGTTGACTTCCTGGATGGAATTTGGGGAACAGTAAATTATTTGATACGATTAGGATTAGGTGTTGCGTGATGACCAATATTGAGATTAATGTGTGAGATTTACACCCTCAGAAAGAGAGTTATTTCTTGGGTCTTAGGGATGAACTTTTTGCCAAAATTACATGGAAATGCTTGTTTATTAACTGTAGTACCACAAAAGGGAATACTTGAATTGCTCTACATATATTTTTAAGTGCTATTTTCAGTACTGCCTATGCTCAGAACATTTGCGATTGAATACGTTGGACAAATCCTTTTCTACTCCTTTTCCATCAAACACGGATGATCCTTTCTTGAAAAGTAATCTGAGATATTTAGTCTGCTGACCTATATTTGTTTTGAGTATTATCCAGTACATATTTTGTGTATGATTAAAACAACTGGTGTCTAAAGGCAAAATGAAAGTATATTTGAACAAGCTTCAATCAAGTGGCTAGGGTTGACTTTGCTTGTCTGTGAGCATAACATTTAACTCGGTCACTTTTCTTTAGGATCATTCTCCGCTGAGCCTTTTTAAGACTTCAGTTGCAAATACAAGGTTTTATAATTCTACTCTCTAAGACTGTTCATATCAGATATAATATACCCAATATCCTTGTCACTGTACAATGGAAGGCCTGTCCGGCCACAGGATGCCTCAATCAAGGGGAGACAACTCACTTCCTGTCCCAATGTATTCAACCATGTGCCAGAACGGCCCATTTAGACTTGAAGACCTGAGAAAAAGCTCACCAACCAAGAGGAAATCCAAGTCTGGCAACCGTAGCGTCCGGATGCCACCGATTCCAGGGGCCAGCAAACCAATTCCAAAGAAGGTAAACCCAGACACCATTGAGAAGACAGTGGAAGATGCTATGGTAACCTGTCTTCAGGATGTGAGGTACAATGCTGAGACTTGTATCCGTCTTTCAAAGAGTCTTGCTGGCACTATTATGGAGAAGATCAAGCCGTTGTCGAACGGCCAGTACAAGCTGGTTGCCGTGGTGAGCATCGGCAACATCAAGGAGCAATCGGGGATGCAGTTCGGGAGCAGATGTTTGTGGAACAAGGATTCCGACTCATTCCTGAGCGTCAAGTACGCCAATGACTCGTTGTTTGCTGTGGCCATGGTATATTCACTGCTGTTTGAATAATATGGTTGTGTAATTTTCTGGGTACTCAATTGTATGAGGCCATGTTGTACTCTCTGCTGTTTGACTGAAGCTGTGGTGAAATAGCTGTTTGAGACCATGGTGGACTCTGTAAGCAAGACCAAGGTGTACTCAAATTTGTATAGGTCATGTGGAACAGCTTGTTATGTGACTGAGGTCATAAAAAAAAGTCATCTTCTATAGTGCACAGTCTCCAAACACCAAGTGATTGCTCGCGGCGCTTAATCAGAATCTGATTCTTATTACCCGGATAACCCAAGCTGCCTGTTTAGCGCTAGAAGGTTATAGTCACATGACTTTATCCCACCGGGTACCCATTTTCTGCTGGGTGAACAGAGGCAATTTGAGCAAACTCACTTGCCTAAGGTGAGACCACATGCATCACATGTGCTTCGTTGTGGGGCAGGACTGAAGTCCTAGAAACTCTCAGGAGTCAGGCTGCCAAACACAGTCACCCATCCAAGGATTGTCTGAGCTCGACGTTGCATAACTTCAACTGATTTGTGACCTGAGCTCTGTGCACAAGACCACGCGCCACCACGAGTGGTGGGCCATTCCCGGAGGTCATGAAGAGACAGCTATTGTGTGATTTAGGCCATGGTGAACATCAGTAATCCAGCACATCTCAGACATCAGGATGGTTACAATTGATCTGTTCTAGTGGTAATCTCATACTGATCATCTGTTTTGGAACTCACGGGGACAAGTGTCGACAATGCGACTCATTGTGATTTGTGAAGCAAAGGTCTTGATGGTTAAGTTATTTGTTGAAACAGTCAAATATTCATGTAATCATGTTGGTCTAATAGTGCGTCGTTTGTTTGAAACAGTCACAGACATAGTTTGGAACTCTGGGGGACAAGAGTCGACTGTGGTCAATGACACTCATTGTGATTTGTCAAGCCAGGTCTTGATGGTTGAGTGTTTTTTTTGTTGAAACAGTAAATAATTCTACGTAAGCCTGTCGTTCAAATAATGTGTCATCTGTTTGAAACTGTCAAAGCCTCTGCTTCTTATCAACTGATCTTTGTGAACTTGCTTCCAATGCAAGTATGGTTTTATGCCGCTTTTAGCAATATTTCAGCAATGTCATGACGTGGGACACCAGAAATGGGCTTCACACATTGTACAAATGTGAACAATTGAACACTTGCTCTCATAATTATTGAAGTTTGAAAAGAAAATTGACCACTTTGTGTATTCATGTATTTGGATATAAAGCTGTTGACAATCATCAGTTGGGTCAATAGAAATACTATAGAGAAAATAATCCTTAGAATCCTGCCCCAATACCCGCCATGTATATATTTCTCCTTGTGCAAATGTTGTGTATCATTTGCTTGATAACGGTGTTAGGATCTACACCGAAACGTCGCAACTACTACTGCAACAAAGAAGTTGTCTATCCATAAAAAGTGTTCCACTTCATCATACCAGCTTCTAAATGCCACTTAAGGAAGTCATATGACGGTGGTCTGAAAATAATCGAATCTGGACAAGACAATCCAGTGACTGACATCATAATGAACGAATGATTGAGACTTAAGCCACTTTTAGCAATATTCCATTAATATCAGGACATGGGACACCAGAAATGGGCTTCACACATTTTACCTATGTGGGGAATCAAACTCGGGCCATCAGCGTGACGAGCGAACGCTTTAACCACTAGGCTACCCCGCCCCTGACTGACATCAACATAGCTGTAGGCAATTTGGGTATGATGACATGCATCAGTCGAGTCATCGAATCAGACCAACCCAACCAGTCGCATCTTACGACAAGCATGGGTTGCTGAAGACCATTTCTAAGCCAGATTTTCACAGCTGGAATCATTGCTTGCAATACTGATCACTGGATTTGCTTGGTTCTCGATGGCGTTAATCCTTGTTGATTGGGAGTTGAGTTGATTGGCTGTTTATAAAATGCATTTATAATAGTTTATAATTTCATCAAATAATGACTATATTAAAAAATCAACAAGCATTAAGAAAAGACAAACATTGATATCGTGTACAATAATCTTTATGTTAAGAAACTTGACACGTATACCATTATATTATACATGCACATAATTCCATTTCTCTAATTTACAATAACATTTATTATCAACATACATCTTATATTTGTGGGCATGATGAAGGTGATTGAGATTTATTATGATGGATGAAGATTGACTCTGATATTGTCATCTGACGATTGCATATGTCATAGCACAATGCCACAGTAAATAAATTATCCCATTTATGTGTGTTAAAAGTATCCTATTCTTTTCAGAAGAAGTTAAAGTGCATCTGATCTTTTTCAAATGACTCCAGTTGATGTGTCATGGCTGGTTGGTTTTGTAACTTGTTCTGAGCAGTACATGTGAAGGAGCACGGTATCGGCCTGAATTGTTTTAGTCAAAGTGAGTGAGTTTGGTTTTAAGCCGCTTTTAGCAATATTCCAGCAATATCACGGCAGGGGACACCAGAAATGGGCTTCACAAATTGGACCCATGTGGGGAATCGAACCCGGATTGTTGGTGTGATGAGCGAACACTTTAACCACTAGGCTATCCCACCGCCCTATATCAAACCAGGGATACCAGAAATGGCTTCACATAAAAACCCCAGTAAGGATTCAAACCCAGACTTTATGCATGACAGGTGAATGCTTTAACCACTAGACTAACCAACTGCCCTATGGAAGATTGGAAGTTCTGACAACATGTACAGAGCAACGGACATAAATAATGTTACAAAACTGAAGACCACATCACACACAAAACACAAAGTCCATATAAAATCATTCACTATTTCTCACACATGAGTATGTCATCTGGAATGCTCGTTCCTAAGAGAAGATTAAGTCTATACGACAGCATGATAGGGCAAGACTTTCACAGGCCTTTCACTCTACAGAACAGGGCCTACACAAAACCAACACTGACAAAGGGGTGAGGGCCTAGATTTTCAAAGCTCTCTTAGAGCTAAGATAGTCGTAAGTGCCATACATTAACATTAACTTACAACTATCTTAGCGTTAAGAGAGCTTTGAAAATCTAGGCCCTCACCCCTTTGTCAGTGTTTTTTTTCCCCAGTAATTAACATTTTTTAAACCGGACATTAAAAGTATTGGTCCAATGATTTAAACAACATGGTCAGAAACCTTGAAGCCTTTTTTCATCACCGTATTCCACATAAGCCTTCTTGCATCAGTTACCTCCCCTGAGCAACCGTACGAAATATTGAACCCAGGCCTTGGGTGAGTGGCCTACTACCAATCTATCTATGAAAACAGATTTTTGTGCATTGTTTAAACATCAGCACCCCTCTAACAAGTTTTTCAAAGAAAATAAAAAAATGACCTCCCTTATCAATAATAACAATCATGTTGAATAATTAAAGGATATGACGTATGGATGAACAATTTCTGTATTTACAATGAGGAGAGATGTTTTCTTGTAGATTCTAACTACGTTATCAACAAGCACTCATACAAAGTGTGCGAAATAGTTTCAACGTTTAGCTAGTCAGTCTGTTTAGCTATGTCTGAAAGTTACTAGCCCACAAAATAATTCACTAGCCCGAAATTTGAATGTAGAAACTAAGCCAAAGACTACAAAAAGGTAAAATACCATCATTTATCAGGCAATCATTTTAATTGCATGATTTAAAAGTGTATTATAACTTAACAAGTGAGAGAGAGTGATATATGTAAAATATGACCCAATGAAAATTCACTAGTCAGTTGGGCCAGTGACTGGAGATTTACTGGCCCGACTGGATTTTTACTAGCCACTGGCTAGTGGGCCAGTGGCTATTTTGCACACTGCTCATCACATGCTTGATAACGGTGTAAGAATATACACCGAAACGTCGCTCCTTATTGTAAAGATAGCAGCTGTTCATCCATACATCTTACTCTTAGATATCTCCAAACATCCATGTTGAATGTCATCCTGTATTTGAGAATTCTGGCAGAAAGATCAGTGTTTGTAGTTATTTTAATTCATTCTCAAAGCCTGTGATGTCAAGAAAGATAGACATGATAAATATCAAGCATAGAATTTAAAAACATTCAAAAGAAAATATTTTCTAAAAACAATGTCATCATAACAAACATTTTGCCCGCTTAAAATGTTATACACATTGAACAAGAAACTAGATCTATCATCACATTACAACACAAACTAGCACCTTTATAATACACTAGGGTCTCAACCACATTTCATATCCATACAAGACTCCCTTGTGTTTGTGTATAACCAGCATCCATTCTCCCGGTGTTTGTTGATCTAAGCGGAACACAGTAATATTCCAGCCATATGGCAGCCTACAAATAATTCAGTCTGAACCACACCAACCAGTGGTTGACATAAAGAGCATTGCATTGAGTCACAATGAGTGAGTGAGTGAGTGGAGTTTCACGCCGCTTTTAGCAATATTACAGCAATATCATGGCGGGTGACACCAGAAATGGGCTTCACACATTGTACCCATGTGAGGAACAATAACAATGAACCAAGACATCGAGGCTAATAAGTTGCCTCTTAAAAGAAGCACAGACTGACCGGACCCTTTCTAAAATAGAAACCTGTGAAGATCTGGGTTAGAATTGGTCTCCAGCAACCATGTTTGTTGTAAGGGGCGACTAACGGGATTGGGTGGTCAGGCTCGCTGACTTGGTTGACACGTCATCGGATCCCAACTGAGTAGGTCAATGCTCATGCTGTTGATCACTGGACTGTCTGGTCCAGATTTGATTACTTACAGACTTTTTCCATATAGCTTGAATTTTGCTGAGTGCAGCGTTAAACAACAAACAAACAAAAACAAATCTAAAACAGAATCATCACTGCTTTGACAATACGTCAGTTATTTGTAGATGTGGGTTGAAAGCCTGACTTGTTGCAGGTCTGTTTGTGAAACCACTCAGCATAGGTTGGTGCTAACAAACCCAGTACCAGGGTAATTCTGGGATTCGAACCCACATTCAAACCTTCTGGCACACCACAGCGACATAAATGTGCCACTCGAGCACAAGCACTACAGCACCATGGATGACCGGACCACGGTGCTTGATCAATTCAGAAAATGGAGAAAAGTTACAACACTGAGGCGAAGATCCCCTTTTACCAATATTACCCTGGAGGTAGAGTGATCGCTACAGCTACCGGGAGATATACACTCTCGCACGTCCAACACTGACTAGATCCACCAGCACTCAACACAAGCACTCTTATCCTTCACGATATGTCAACCACACTTCCCAATTTCAGACAAGATTCAAAATATTTTCCGCCAATGTTTCCAAGAGCGGATGGATGTCCTATCTGAGATATATATAAATTAAATACAACGCTATTGACAGTATTGATAGCAAAACAAAATGAAAAACTACTACCACTCCTTAAGTTTTCCATTTTGCTTTTGAGTAAAAAACATACATGCACCTACGCATGGCACCCATTTTGAAAACATCAGATGATAAACAGACTTACATTCCTTGAATCCAAAGTACTTCCCAACCAAGCTGCATCTAGGCTTGTTCAGCTCTATAGTCATGTCCAGTGACTGACTGAGTTTAGTTTCACGCCATTTTAGCAATATTCCAGCAATATCATGGCGGGTGACACAAGAAATGGGCTTCACACATTGTACCCATGTGGGAAATTGAATGCGGGTCTTCGGCGTGACGAGCCAACGCTTTAACCACTAGGCTACCCACCGCCCTGATGTCCATTGATGCATGGAGTGAGTTTAGTTTTACGCCGCTTTTAGCAATATTCCAGCAATATCACGGCGGGGGACACCAGAAATGGGCTTCACACATTGTACCCATGGGGGAATTGAAATCGGATCTTCGGCATGACAAGCGAACACTTAAACCACTATGCTCCCCACCGCCCTGATGTCCATTGATGCATGGAGTGAGTTTAGTTTTACGCCGCTTTTACCAATATTTCAGCAGTATTCAGGGGTGGAAATAACTTTAAAATTGCTAGTGTACTCCGGTACAGTGGCACATGCAAAATCACTTGCCCTGATAATTTTTCCACTATACCATCCGTTTTCTTGTTGATTTTTTAAATAAACAACATAATTAACATTGGAAAGTCAACTGGACACCGGTACAGTGTGATATACAAATTAGCTTGCCCGACAGAAAAAAACACTGGACTCAGACGTCGGGCAATGGGTTATTTCCACCCCTGGTATTACGAGGGGGGACACCAGATTTGATGCATGGAAGCAGATATACTCATGAAGCTATTGCACCTGTGGCACTATTGTTTGAACTATTGCAATAGTAATAATACCATCGATGGTCATCCTTGTACAAGGCTTTACTGTATGTGAACAACACAAAATCTGACTTCACCTGCAAGTCCGAGTTTCAAAACTGCACTCAGCATACAAGTAAAGCGATAACTGTGTAGGCACATCTTCACCTACTGTATAATAATACAAGGGAGATAACTCATGACTCATATTAAGATAATAATGCCTAATATCCTTTCCTTGTTTGGTACAAGGGACTGGCAGTATGCAATGTGGCAGAATGCGGAAGGGGAGGCAACTGCTATAGGAAGGTCTCCCTGTCTGGAACCCCGACACTGCTCTGTGACGTCTCCAGCTGTTTCTGCTGCAGCAGCCTGATCTGCAGCTTCACACTCAGGCAGATCATCCGCTCCTCATGGATCTTCTGACATAACTCTGCATTCTTTTTCTGGAATGGAAAGAGCAAAAATTTCACAAAACATCAAACCGAAATATTTCATCAGCTAAATTAAATACATTTGCTATTTTTGCATTCTGAAAAGCTTTTTGTTTGGTTTGTCTGTTGTTAAATGCCACACTCAGCAGTATTCCAGCTATATGGCGGCGGTCTGTAAATAGTCGAGTCTGGACCAGACAATCCAGTGATCAACAGTATGAGCATGAATCTACACAATTGGGATACGATGACATGTGTCAACCAAGTCAGCTTCTGAAAAGGAAATGACCTTAAAAATTACTTCACTTAATAATAGATGATAATGTATGTCCGTGTGTGCGTTTGAACCAGTGCTGGTTTTGTTAAGCTGAGCCCGAGAGATACAATGCTACAGTTTAATGTGGGCACCCACATTACATTGTTGTCCAACACCTCACTCAGCAATATTCCAGCTATATGGCAGTGGTCTGCAAATAGTGAAGTCTGGACCAGACAATCCAGTGATCAAAATCATGAGCATCAATCTATGCAATTGGGATAGGTTAATATGTGTCAACCAAGTCAGCAAGGCTGACCACCCGATCCTGTTAGTCGCCTCGTACGACAAGCATTGTTTGCTGAAGATCAATTCTAATCCGAATCTTCATGGGTTGTTTGACATGGAGACAGTTCTTGTTCTATCACTTTAATGTTAAGTGCCACTCAGGGTATTCTGCCTGAAAGAGGAGACAAAATACTGTTCGTTCCCACTATTGGATTAAATAGATAAACTGCGAGATAAACCGGCTTGTATCATAGATGCCAATTGTTGTGGAATACATAACATCAAGTCCTACTTCAATGAGTGACTGACCTCGAGGTCTTCATTGTCGTGGATGAGCTGACAGAGGCTGTCCTGCAGGTCGTCCTCATCCTCGCTGTCGTAGCTGCTCTCGGAGGAGGAGCTGATGTCCTCGAGGTCGGAGTCTTGTCGGAGGTACTGCAACTCCTGTATCTCCTGGTGGAGGCGCTCGATCTCGCTCTGCTCTGTCTCGATCTTCTGTCTCAGCTCATCACCTACACAGGGTCATAGTTGAAATTTAACAACACTGTCACACACTAGACATTATGCAACACTGTCACCAAGTCATTACTTTACAAATTTCGTACCAATTTCTAAACACCCCTACACACACAGCCAGCCAGACACAGGCACGCACTGACCTATAGCGAGCAGTTCCTCCTCTTCCATCTTCATGGCCTCCTCCTCCTCCAGCAGCCTCTGAGTCTCCTCGTCGTCGATGGGATCCCACTCTACAACATGCACAGCATTATCTTACCTTCATGTTAAATACTTTAATTTCATTGGTCAATGTCGCTTTAACAAGTTTCCATGTCACCAATCCCAGGAGAGTGACAACTGGAAAAAATATTACCCGCCACCACGGTAAATGCCAAACTCTCCGCCCATAACATGTATCCCTAACAATCGTATGACGTCATAATATGTCATACCGGTATGCAGTGCACAGAGTTCGAAAACCTTGTTTACATGTCATATAGTCGGTAGCGAGCTTATCGATCTTCAAAATAAAATAAAATGATATTTTGTACATTTAAAGGGGCACTGATCCAGAGTGATTAATGTTTCTCACCAACAATCTAATTACAAAACCTAGCTGCAAGCTGGTCAGTACCTGCTCCCTCGACCGTGACACACACAGGGACTGGGCTACTGTCCACCTGGAATCGGCAGACAATATGCCATTCATCTTTGTCAACTGCAGATGGCATATCGTTCCTTTATGTGGATATTTGATGGACACATTCCTCAATCAAGGTAATAGCCTATAATTGTTGCTATAACTTTAGTCTGTTATAATTTTAATATTTGCATTTTGGTTTTTCGCCGTGAAGTGTAATGAGACGGACAACATACACTAGGTTGCACTGAAATATGATTCATGTTGGCAATCTACAAAATGTCGAGATCATGTTATAAATTCACTATAAGCAGATCGTGCGCCTTTTAATAAGTTTCAAAATGCATACAGATATGATAAGAAACTAATTAGGATTATAAGACAAAATATAAAGACGTACATTGACTTAAGTTATTTTTCAGTCCACTGGCAGATGGTTAAACTTCAAACTGTTTTCATTTGTTATCATAATAATGAAGATGGAAATATTATTGAGTAAAAAACATTTCATCTTTGTTGATCAGTCTATACTTATACTATCAATTGCACATGCGGGTGGTACAGCAGAGGTCACGAACCAGTCAAGAATTCTGGGATATCATCTGGGTACTCACGGAGAAAAACAATAACAAAAGCAACAAGCAGCCCACGGAAATTGCTCTGGATCAGTGCCCCTTTAACATGGCAGTAAGATAAATATGTTGTAAACTTCGGGTGACACTGTTACAAAGATGCGTACATCAGATCGTATTACCCTTGAGAGAAACATACAGCTTATAATGTGACACGACATATGGCAGATATCACTCACACGGCTACTACAGAGTCACATCCCTGCTCCATTGTCTGCCCTCTGTTATAATGTGACACGACATATGGCAGATATCACTCACACGGCTACTACAGAGTCACATCCCTGCTCCATTGTCTGCCCTCTGTTATAATGTGACACGACATATGGCAGATATCACTCACACGGCTACTACAGAGTCACATCCCTGCTCCATTGTCTGCCCTCTGTTATGTTATAATGTGACACGACATATGGCAGATATCACTCACACGGCTACTACAGAGTCACATCCCTGCTCCATTGTCTGCCCTCTGTTATAATGTGACATATGGCAGATATCACTCACACGGCTACTACGTCACATATGGCAGATATCACTCACTCCACACGGCTACTACAGAGTCACATCCCTGCTCCATTGTCTGCCCTCTGTTATAATGTGACACGACATATGGCAGATATCACTCACACGGCTACTACAGAGTCACATCCCTGCTCCATTGTCTGCCCTCTGTTATAATGTGACACGACATATGGCAGATATCACTCACACGGCTACTACAGAGTCACATCCCTGCTCCATTGTCTGCCCTCTGTTATAATGTGACACTCTACATATGGCAGATATCACTCAGATATCACTCACACGGCTACTAATAATAATAATAATAAATGGATATTTCTTATGCCCATGTCCATCCAGAGCATGCCTCAAATACATATAAAAAGAGTGACTAGCGGAGAGCATTTTACAGTTATAGGTTGTAGACTTTTTGAAGAGGAAGGTTTTGAGTCCTCGGGATTTGAATGCTTCACTGCAAATTTGAATGACCTATGGCCAAAGTGTTTGAGACTCGAACTTGGGGAACTGAGAGAAGATGTTGATTCTGAGAGCCGGAGAGAACGGGCAGGCATATATGTTGACAACATCTCAGAGAGGTATGGAGGAGCTTAGGCGTAGTTTGCAGCGGGAAAACAAGAGTGCAGATCATTCTTGCTTCAACCGCAGCCAATGCAGACTCTCCATTTGGATGCTCCATTGTCTGCCCTCTGTTATAATGTGAGACGACATCATGGCAGATTCCAAACAGTAGGCTATTGCAATAGTCAATCCTGGAGAGAACAAGTGACTGAGTGGAGAACTTTAGCAGCATCTGTGGTTACAAGATGGCGGATGTTACCACATAGAGTGGAGATGGAAGTAGCCTACTCTACAGAGATGGTTCACATGTTGCTCCATTGTGAGCCCTCTGATGAACAAGGTTTTTACACTGGATGAAAGTGGGATATCTGAGTTGGCTACTGTGATGTCCGTAGAGTTTATCCTTTTCAGACATCCCTGCCAATCAACATAGTCTCAGTCTTATCATCATTGAGCTTCAGCTCATTTGTCATCATCCATGAACTAATTGCCATATGGCACTGACTCACTCTAGATCTGGCTATTTGTACATCCTCTGGTTTGAAGGAATCCATCCCTGCTCCATTGTCTGCCCTCTGATTCAGATCAAAGTGATCAATGACCTTCTCCAAAGGGTTTGTGTATAACACAAAGAGAAGCGGCCCAAGGACTGAGCCCTGGGGTACACACCACACTCTAGGATCGTTGACTCAGAGATGCTTTCAGAGACAAGAACTGACTGACTCCTCATGCTCAGATAGGAACGGAACCAGGCCAATGCATCCCCTTGTATGTTATAGTCATCCTGAAGAGGCTGCTAAGGAGCTTCTGATGGTTGACCGTGTGTTAAGCCGCTTGAGAGATCAAGCAAGAGGAGAAGTGACACATTACCCAAACCGCATGGCATCTCAAGTTATTCAGAATTTGAAGTAAAGGCTCTCGGTACTGTGCCTAGGACGATAGGCTGATTGGAATCTGTTCAGAAAATCATTTGAAGAGAGATAGGATCTGAGTCTGACATCAACTGCCCTGATCTAGGAAAGGAAAGAAGAGAGGTTGAGACAGGTCTGTAATTCTTGAGAGTATTGATATCCAAATATCTACTACAGAGTCACATCCCTGCTTCATTGTCTGCCCTCTGTTCAACTCAGCTATATTCCACCTACACTACAGCAGGGTGGGATTTCCCTTCTTTTTTCAGTACCTGCACCAAGTGCAACCTAGCTTATAGGTTTGGCTGCACCATCAAAATTTTGGTTGCACTATCAAATAATGTCACTGGTTCTAAAACGTAACAAATACTTGTTTCACAATTTTCATAACAAGTACTCAGTATCAGACACATTCAACAGAACCTGACCCCATGATGATGATTGATCCAATTTTGCATTACCTTTTATAAATCTCAATTATATGATTACTGCTATGGAACGGATTTATGAGTACACAAATGTTAATGTTTGTAACAAGTCTTATTACTTCCAAATTAATAGACACGATAACAGCAATAAGATGTTGGAGGAGTGAGTGAGTGAATATGGTGTTACGCCACTTTTAGCAATATTCCAGCAATATCACGGCGGGGGACACCAGAAATGGGCTTCACACATTGTACCCATGTGGGGAATCGAACCCGGGTCTTCGGTGTGACGAGCGAAGGCTTTAACCACTAGGCTACCCCACTGCTCCAGATGTTGGAGGATTTATTGTTAGCTGCATCGGGTGGAACCTGTTATGAGAGGCAACCTGCACCAGCCATTTTTTAACATGCACTGGTGTAGGTTGTAAATAGTGAAATCGCACCCTGTACAGTTATAACATACTCCATGGGAACACTAATGTCAGTTCCTCATAGCTGTTCATAATACACATTTCTACTACAATATACAAGTGTGTCTGGAACCGACAAAAATAGTTTTGATTGTTATAAGCATGCTTACTGTATATGATAGTGGTCAATAAATAATCAATTCAAGACTAGACAAGCCAGGAGATGATATCATGTTTGTTTGTTTGTTGTTTAAAGCTACATTCAGCAATATTCCAGCTATATGGCAGCCTTCTGTAAGTCATTGAGTCTGGACCAGACAATCCAGTGAGCAACAGCATGAGCATTGATTAACACAAATGGGATACGAAGACATGTGTCAACCAAGTCAGCGAGCCTGACCACCCGACCGCGTTAGTCACCTCTAAAGACAAGCATGGGTTACTGAAGACCAATTCTAACCCGGATCTTCACAGGTCAGATATCATGAGGACTGACCCTTCAATGAGGTACAACTAGGTGATGCTCCCTTTAGTTGCCTCTTACAACAAGCATAGGTTGTGGTTGTGAACATTCATTGCTACTTACCCTGATCAACGATTTCCACCTCCGTCTCTGACAGGTCTGATTCCACCTCCTCTTCCTCCATCACCCGTTCCTCCGCCTGCTCTGTGAACTTCACTTTCTTCTCCGCCTTCCCGTCCCCGAGAAGTTCTTCCTCTAGCTCTCTCAGCTCCACCGACTTCTTCAATGAATCGTCTGCAGTCTCTTCCTTCTTTGGTGTGACTGGCTGTTCAGCCTTAATAGGCTTGAGTGGCTCACTAGACAAGTGGATATGTGGATGAAGGGACACTTTCTCAGTCTCTTTCACTTTTTTAGCCTTTGGTTCAACTTTCTCCACTTTCTTTTTCTCTTCCACCCCATCTTTATCCTTGTCCCCACTTTTAACCTCTTCCTCTTTTACCTCTTTCGTTTCTTCAACTGTTTCCTCTGCTGTTTCTTTTGTTTCCTCTTCAGCCGACTTCACCACATCAGCTTCAACTGTTATTTTAGCACCTGCTTTCACTCCAGAATGCCTTTTGATCTTTTTCTCCTCCTTTTCAGCCTCTTTCTGAGCTTGAGACTCTTTTTGAGATGAAGCCTCATTCTGAGATTCAGCCTCTTTCTGAACTTCAGCCTCATTTTCAGATTTCTCTACTTCTTTTGGCTTTGGTTCATCTGGCTGTTCTTTCTCCTCAGTTTCTGCTGTTTTCGTGGATGGTTTGGGTTCAGCTTTCTTGGGTCTGAGATCAAGCTCCTCCTCTTCAGGGAGATGAGCAGACAGTTTTTTGCTCTCATTGTCCTTCCTCCTATCTGCAGCCTTCTTTGCAAATTTTATCTGAAAGGAAAAATGTCGGTGGAGTTTAATACTCTGCTGTAAGATCTTCACAAGATGTGCCTTCAGACATTTTGAAAATAGGCAATAGTTCTTTAAAAGCGTTTGGTGCATGTAGTCATCATTTCACTATTTTTCACAAACAAATGTTTGGTGGATGAGCTTGAGCTGCCGGGATTGAGCCCACCTGTGCCCGGGTGTAAAAACCTTGGAGTCAACTTTGTGTGCAGACTCTGTCAGTGTTGTCACAACCCCTAGTGTACAGTACACAACCCTGTGCACTTAAAAGATGGGAAAGCCACATCAACTCTGTGCATTTAGTGGCTGCAAGAGTAGTATGATCCCCAGGGAGTTGAGAATGACAATATGATGTGCCGTTTGAGCATCATCATCATAACAATCAAACTTAAAGGCTAGTGAATGAGTTTGCTTTTACTGAAATATAAGCCATATTATTGAAGGTGAATAAGCTTCTAACATTGTGTCCAACATTTTTAGCATGGTGAGTAAATGCTTCAAGCATTACCACGACCAGCTAGGCTACCTCATCACCTTTGGAATGTATGGATGATTCGCTGATAAATTTTGGTACTTGGAATGACAGTATTGTCTTTCTACTGTGACCCATATTATAATATTTTATATGATATTTATACAGTGCGCATATCCATGTAACTAGTACATGCTCAAGGCGCTGGTATTTCCCTCGATCACTGGATGTCAATCTCAACAGCACATCGTATTATCAATCTCAACTCCCCAGGGATCATACAACTCTTGCAGCCACTAGGCGCACCGAGTTTTACGGCTTTCACATTCTTACGAGGTACCCATTCACAACTGGGTGGACTGGGACACATAGTCACAGTAACTTGTCCAAGTTTACTGCACGTTGCTGTACCCGCAACTAGATGTTTGCACGTATACATGTGGCCACTAGATGGTCATATACCAACGGATTCGTGGGTTGTTTTAAGTGCACAAGGCTGTGTACTGTACACTAGGGGTAATCAACATGCATGCAGTTTTGGAGGATCATAAGGGATTCAGCAAGAATGCTGGTCCTATGTTCGAATTGAGTTGTAGAACTACTCTCTGTATTCTACATACAGAATCCAAGATAATTGGTGTGGGGTAACAAGACTGATTGCCAGACTTACCTTCCGCTTGAGTTGAGTGACCACCCTCTGCACCTCCCACAGCTGTTCCTCCTTGTCGGAGTCGGTGACACCAGCATTCAGCTCACGATGCAGCTCGTTCAGCAGCGACTCCTGCTTAGCCAGCTCTTCCTCCAAGGCAGCTGGGTTGTCCGGCAGCTCCAGCGACCATCGGGATGTGGCTGGCTTCAGAGGGGGAACATACCTGTAAGAGTGAGTGAGATTAGTTTTATGCCGATTTTGAACAATAATCCAGCAATATCACAGCAGGGGACACCAGAAATTGGCTTCACATATTGTACCCATGTGGGGAATCGAACCTGGTGTAGCAGGCCATTTCTTCCCCAGTCTAAACTTTCCCAGGGAGAATCTGGCCTAGGCCAAACTTTCCTCGGGGAAGTTTTGTCCTCGGATATTTTTACCCCGGGGAAAGTTTGAGCTAGGCTAAAGTTCCCCCACCCCTAGGCTAAACTTTCCCCTGTTTTAAACTAGGATGTTTTGTTTTGTTTTCTATGAAAAGTGGTGAGATTCTGGCCTAGCTAGGCCACTTCTTCCCCACCCTTGCTCTTACGTTAAAAGGGGGAGATTCTGGCCTACCTAGGCTACTTCTACCCTCCCTTGCTCTTACGTTAAAAGGGGGAGATTCTGGCCTAGCTAGGCTACTTCTTCCCCACCCTTGCTCTTATATCAAAAGGGGGAGATTCTGGCCTACCTAGGCTACTTCTACCCTCCCTTGCTCTTACGTTAAAAGGGGGAGATTCTGGCCTAGCTAGGCTACTTCTACCCTCCCTTGCTTTTATTTCAAAAGGGGGAGATTCTGGTCTAGCTAGGCTACTTCTTCCCCACCCTTGCTCTTATAAACTGACAGTCGTTTTGACTTATACTTTGGTACTCATTTCTGCCAAGTAGTCCTCCGACTTGGGTGTTGTGATTTGAATGGATACATGCTTGAACGGCATATATCTCTAAATCCATCCTGCTCCTACCACCATTCCTATGAAGACACATTGCATTAGTTCTTCATCTGTCCAAATCATGTCACCATAAGATGTAAACATTCAATCGCACATTTGATGGGTAAACAAGATGTAATATACACAGGTTGCTAGCTCTCTTATCATGCTGTTTATTATCTAATATTTGTTGTATTTATGTATAAATGTAATGGAACATTATTCACATAAGCTTGTTTACTAATCCATAATCACTTTTGGTGAATGAAATATGATTCAGATATCCATGGTCCAAGTATACCCCTTATCTTTTGAATATAGAATAAGGCAATATAGTGGAATGATAGATGATACAGCATTTGATATAGATATTGTGTTGATATTCATGTCTGCTTCCAACTATTAGTATTAAGTTGATGTCGACGACATGGATGCCATATTTAAAGCCATGAGTGAGGGAATAAAATTTTGAATGGATATGGACATCCAAATAAAAACTGGGTATTTAGTTAAAGTTTCGAATATAGTAATGATTTTGAGGTAAGCCACTTTGGAGTAAGTGGGGATAAGTAAATTATTGAAATATTAAAAAAAAGTAAATGCGTTCGGCTTTAAATAAAATTTAGAGCTGATATAATTTCGTTATATACCTCTGATTTTCCCACACAGTAGGTTTATCTCCTAAACATAAAACAATAGTACTGATATAATATCTTTACTTTTATGCTTGCTTTTCTTTTTAATCTCACCTTATATAAGGATATTGAAACAAAATGTGAACCATGTACATGTTATATATGAAGATAAAGATGACCTGTAAATTGTAATGGAACTTGACATCAACATGAATATCTTATCAATGTGTTCACATGAATAGCTATGTCTTGTTTTCGTTTCTGACTTTTCAAGACGAACATAAACATGAAAACAAGATTGGGGAAGAAATAGCCTAGCTAGGCCAGAATCTCCCCTTTTGACATAAGAACAAGGGTTTGAAACAAGTAGCCTTTAAAGTTGATTCAAGGTTGGGGAAAGTTCGTCCTAGGCCAAACTTTTCCCCGAAGAAGATTAAGCCTAGCCTAGGGGAAGTTTGTGCCTAGGCTAAAGTTTACCCGGGGAAGGTTTGTCCTAGGCCAGAGTTTCCCTGGGGAAGATTTGGCCAGGGGGAAAGTTTGGCCTGTTACACCGGGTCTTCAGTGTGACGAGCAAACACTTTAACCACTAGGCTACCCCACTACCCCATATCACTTCTAACAGTGCCCTTGCTTTATGATGGCTGGGAATCCAGGTCTTCTGTGCAAAGCCTTTACCACTAGGCTACCCTATAACCCCTGTCTTGAACATGGTAATGCTGGTGACAAAGGGCAAGCGTGAGTGAGTTAGGTTCCATACAGACTCTCAGTAATATACATGTTTGTGCATAGTGTATATTTTGCAGGAACAAACAATAAATGTATGGACAGTAAATTGGGGCCTGCAGCTTTTGAGAAATGAGAAACAACTCCTATCCTTCACACAGCATGTACTGGCAGTTAACCAAGACACAATCTGCTACTGTTACTGATGGTAAGTCTGTTGTTTTACGCCAACCTCAGCAATATACCAGCTATAATGCGGCAGTCTGTAAATAATCAAGTCTGGACCATACAATCTAGTGATCAGCTGCATGAGCACCGATCTACGCAACTGGGATAGGAAGACATGTGTCAACCAAGTCAGAGAGACTGACCACCCACCTCACTCAGCAATATTCCAGCTATATGGCTTTGTTCTGTAAAGAATCGAATCCGGACTAGACAATCCCGTGATCAACAGCATGAGCATCGGTCTACGCAACTGTGATACGATGACATGTGTAAACCATGTCTGCGAGCCTGACCACCCGATTTTGTTAGTAGCCTGGGTTACTGAAGATCAATTCTAACCTAGTGCCTCTTACGAAAACCACGGGTTGCTGAAGACCAGTTCTAACCTGGATCTTCAAAGGCAGTTACTGCGGGTCTGGGGGATGACATACCTCTTGACGATTGTGTCAGCAAACAGCTGTCCTGCGTATGTGAAGAGAATGTTGAGGACACGGTGACTGATCTGCATGGTCGGACTCAGCACGATCGACACGTTCTGGAGCGTCATCTTGTTCTGCTTTTGCTGTAAACAATTGAATAGAAAACATACCCATATGAGTGGAATTAGGTGACACAGGTCAAGTCCGACTGCTGACATACCACTGTCCTGAAGTCGTAGATATTAGATACCAAAGTTTCAAGTACTTCAGTATCTATGATAAGGAGGCGGTGTGGTAGCCAAGTGGCTAAAGCAATCGCTTGTCCCGCCGAAGACCCGGGTTAGATTCCCCACATGGGTACAATGTGTGAAGCCTATTTCTGGTAGCCCCGCCGTGCTATTGCTGGAATATTGCTAAAAAGCGTGCGCAAAACTAACATCACTCACTGACTCACTCATCTATGATAACGTTCATAGTTTCTATTCCGTGGGAATATATACTCAATATGGTTGGCAGTTAGTTTTTGAAGGGTGGTGGGGTAGCCTAGTGGTTAAAGTGTTTGCTCGTCACGCCGAAGGCCCGGGTTCTATTCCCCACATGGGTACAATGTGTGAAGCCCATTTCTGGTGTCCCCCACTGTGATATTGCTGGAATATTGCTAAAAGCGACGTAAAACCATATTCAGTCAGTTAGTTTTTGACATTGGGCATTATCTGGTCTATAATAAAAAAATTCAGATCTTATGCTTATGGAGTGTAACATTTCCCAGGATGACAATAGACAAAGGTCTATAAGCCAAAATGGTGATAACATGTATAGTAATACCCCATAAATTGACTCACCAGCTCAATGATGTGTGTCATGTGACTCACCAGCTCAATGATGTGTGTCATGTGACTCACCAGCTCAATGATGTGTCATGTGACTCACCATCTCAATGTGTGTGTCATGTGACTCACCAGCTGAATGTGTCATGTGACTCACCACCTCAATGTTGTGTCATGTGACTCACCAGCTCAATTATGTGTGTCCTGTGACTCACCACTTCAATATGTGTCATGTGACTCACCAGCTCAATGTGCTTCATCTGACTCACCAGCTCAATGTTGTGTGTCATGTGACTCACCAGCTCAATGTTGTGTCATGTGACTCACCAGCTCAATGATGTGTGTCATGTGACTCACCAGCTCAATGATGTGTCGTGTGACTCACCAGCTCAATGTGTGTCATGTGACTCACCAGCTCAATGTGTGTCATGTGACTCACCAGCTCAATGATGTGTCATGTGACTCACCAGTTCAATGTGTGTCATGTGACTCACCAGCTCAATGATGTCATGTGACTCACCAGTTCAATGAGTGTCATGTGACTCACCAGCTCAATGTGTCATGTGACTCACCAGCTCAATGATGTGTGTGATGTGACTCATCAGCTCAATGTGTGTCATGTGACTCACCAACTCAATGTGTGTCATGTGACTCACCAGCTCAATGTTGTGTGTGATGTGACTCACCAGCTCAATGTTGTGTGTGATGTGACTCACCAGCTCAATGTTGTGTGTCATGTGACTCACCAGCTCAATGTGTGTCATGTGACTCACCAGCTCAATTTTGTGTGTGATGTGACTCACCCGCTCAATGTGTGTCAAGTGACTCACCAGCTCAATGATGTGTCATGTGACTCACCAGTTCAATGTGTCATGTGACTCACCAGCTCAATGATGTGTGTCATGTGACTCACCAGCTCAATGATGTGTGTCATGTGACTCACCAGCACAATGATGTGTCGTGTGACTCACCAGCTCAATGTGTCATGTGACTCACCAGCTCAATGATGTGTGTCATGTGACTCACCACTCAATGATGCGTGTCGTGTGACTCACCAGCTCAATGTGTGTGTCATGTGACTCACCAGCTCAATGTGTTATGTGACTCACCAGCACAATGATGTGTCGTGTGACTCACCACCTCAATGTGTCATGTGACTCACCAGCTCAATGATGTGTGTCATGTGACTCACCACTCAATGATGTGTGTCATGTGACTCACCATCTCAATGTGGGTGTCATGTGACTCACCAGCTCAATGATGTGTCATGTGACTCAACAGCTCAATGTGTGTGTCATGTGACTCACCAGCTCAATGTGTGTTATGTGACTCACCAGCACAATGATGTGTCGTGTGCAATGATGTGTGTGTGACTCACCAGCTCAATGTGTCATGTGACTCACCAGCTCAATGATGTGTGTCATGTGTACAATCATCCAGGACAGCAGGAGTCGGTTACAGGTGGGCAGCTCCTCTATCAACTTCTTGAACTGCTCAATACGTCGCTTCTCATTCTTGATCGCTGCAATGAAAAAAGTGGGCTAGTAAATATGGTTGAACAATATTTCAAGTATAAGTGATGCAGATATTTAACACCTGTCAGGTGAAACCAGTGAGAATGGGTACGCTGCTGAATAACAAAAAATAAACCTGTGCTTGCTCACAGGCTCCTACAAATCAGTGAAGGAAAAGCTGCTGCAAATGAAAATCTTTTAAATCACAGGACCAATAGAGATCGGGGCTCCAGGTAAGATGTGTATCTGCGTAAAATATGGATAATTCAGATATATACGCTTAAAAAGTCAAATCAATGAGTGAAAGATACTCATAACTTTCTCAGAATACGAGTCAGATTTTGTTTACATGCGTGAACCAAACCTGTCAAAATACCGTATCAGTCCTTCACATCCGATCTTAAGATCTCGAATAGTGTTGGTTGTTTGCATTGAACTTGAAGCAAAGATTGTCAAGTTTTTCCGAATAATCTCCGTTAATATTTCTAATCCACATTCGGGGCATGATTTGTTTAAAAGGTAGCTCTTAATCAGTGTTACTTCTGGTCCGTATCCGTAGTAATACAGCGTTAAGGCGACTGTAGATTACGTGAAGGATCTAAACCAGCGTAGGGAAGCATTTAATGCACAATAGCTCAGCACTCACTGTCATTTATTTCCTGTCTTCCGCAGTAAGAAGGACTAACCAAATGTAACTCATCAAGTTTTTTTAAAGGAAAACTGTTTCAGTTAGCAAGGGAAAGTAATAAACCATGCAATCTTTTAAATACTCCTCCTTTCATTTCCATTTGGTATTTTACTCTTCAATTTTTATTTGAGGAGTGAAATACCCCAGAGTCAAAATAATTATCTGGAGCTGCCTGGATCTCTCTGGGCTCCAGATCGGACCAAGCACTCTACTACCTAGGGTGGCGTATCTTCATCTGCTGGAGCCCCTTACTTCTGGAAAAATGGTAAAGACTTTCCACTTGTCATCATACAGGCTAAGTACTTACTTGATGCTTCTTCAAACTTGGGCATGAGTGCAGTAGTAAGGACGGGTTCTGGGAGATCCCTGAGGAACTGTTTGAGGAGACTGGCCACCACGTTGGGCTCATGCTCCTGGAGGTAGGCCGGCACTCCCTTGTTGTAGCAGTCCTTCAGGTGCTGCACCTTTGACTTCACACCTGAGATCCGGTATATGCCTTCACACGACAGACCTGTACAGGAGAAACTGGGGTTTAGTGGGTGAATACAATATTTGATGATGTACCGGCACAATACTTTGAGTTATATAGTATATTTTTCTAAAATTGCCAACCATGATTTAAATATTATATTATATTATATTATATTATATTATATTATATTGTATTATATTATATTATATTATATTATATTATATTATATTATATTATCCATAGTGAACCAATAAAGAAACAGGTTATTTCAATCAGAGGTTTTTTTTATTTGAAACTTCTGATCGACCAATAAAAATAAAGCATTCTGAAATACATGGTCGGATAAGTATTGATAAAATTTGAAACCTCAGAATAAAGCCTTTCAAATAAATGGTTGAATAAATATTGCTACAACTTAAGGGGTAAGTTATTTTCTTAAAGAAGGCAACAGAAATCCTCACAAGCACTTGTTACTCACCATGTTCCTCGATGTAGTCAACACATTCTCGGAATATTGCAGGGAGTTCTATTCCATCATGTGACTTGTTTCTTTCCACAGACAGCGCCAAGGGTACACCAAATATTGGTTTATCATATTCACCTGAAATCATGATCAATGTCAGGGATGTACCTGTGTATATGAGTCTGGGACTCTCAAAAATATTTTCTGTTGATCCAAGGGATTTAAACAGGACTGAATGACTGTCTGCTGTGACCTACTTGACATCTTTAGGTTGGGTGAGGTGGTGAGGCAAGGTGAGGTGAAATGGGATTAACATCGTACTTCGTATTTCGCTCATATTCCAGTGTGCAGCTCACTGAGATACCATGCCGCAGTGAAGCATGAATACCCCACTCAGACACATTATACTGACTCCGAGCCGACCAGTCCTTGTTGTACCCATAAATGCCGAGCACCAGGCAGGGACCAACAAGTACCACATTTTAACGTCTTTTGGTACGACGTGGCCGGGGATCGAACCTGCAACCTTCCATTCTCCCAGCGGGCGCTCTAACCACTACACCACGGAGACGCTCCTCTTCACGTTTGAGACATGAGACACTAAATGTGACACTCCTGTCAGTAATAACACAGTTCACTTCAGCATATAAACAGGTATCATACACCAGTGGTTGATAATATAGGAATGTCTCAGACCATTTCAGCATATAAACTGACTGACTGACTGACTGAGTTTGGTTTTACGCCGCTTTTAGCAATATTCCAGCAATATCACGGCGGGGGACACCAGAAATGGGTTCACTCATTGTACCCATGTGGGGATTCGAACCCGGGTCTTCGGGGTGACGAGCCAACGCTTTAACCACTAGACTACCCCACCGCCCCTCAGCATATAAAAGGTATCATACACCAGTGGGTATCATACAGCCAGGTATCATACACCAGTGGTTGATAATATAGGACGTCTCAGGCCATTTCAGCATATAAACAGGTATCATACACCAGTGGTTGATAATATAGGAATGTCTCAGGCCATTTCAGCATATAAACAGGTATCATACACCAGTGGTTGATAATATAGGAATGTCTCAGGCCATTTCAGCATATAAACAGGTATCATACACCAGTGGTTGATAATATAGGAATGTCTCAGACCATTTCAGCATATAAACAGGTATCATACACCAGTGGTTGATAATATAGGAATGTCTCAGGCCATTTCAGCATATAAACAGGTATCATACACCAGTGGTTGATAATATAGGAATGTCTCAGACCATTTCAGCATATAAACAGGTGTCATACACCAGTGGTTGATAATATTGGAATGTCTCAGACCATTTCAGCATGTAATAGGGAAACAGGACCTCATATCACCAGTGGTAGATAAAATAGGAATGTCTCATGCCATTTCAGCAGATGAAATACAGGACCTCAATGGACCTCCCAGATAAAATAGGGATGTCTCAATGGATCTCAGCAGATGAAATAGGGATCATACCTCAATGGATCTCAGATGAAATAGGGGAATAGGGGTCTCAATGGATCTCACAGATGAAATAGGGACCTCAATGGATCTCCCAGATGAATAATATAGAATGGATCTCCCAGATGAATTTCAGCATATAAACAGGTATCATGGATGGTGGTTGATAATAGGGACCTCAATGGATCTCCCAGATCAGCATAGGGAAATAGGGGTATCAATGGATCTCACAGATGAAATAGGGACCTCAATGGATCTCCCAGATGAAATAGAAATGTCTCAATGGATCTCAGCAGATGAAATAGGGAAATAGGGCCTCAATGGATCTCCGTGGATGATAATATAGGGATGTCTCAATGGATCTCAGCAGATGAAATAGGTATCATACACCAATGGATCTAACAGATGAAATAGGGAGGCCATTGGATCATATAAGACAGGTAGGGACACCAGTGGATCTCACAGATGAAATATAAAATAGGGGCCTCAATGGATTTCAGATGAAGCATAGGGACCTCAATGGATCATCACAGGTGGTTGATAATATAGGAATGTCTCAGACCATTTCAGCATATAAACAGGTATCATAGGGACCCATGGTTGATAATATAGGAAACTTCTCAGACCATTTCAGCATATAAACAGGTATCATACACCAGTGGTTGATGAAATATAGGAATCAATGGACTCTCAGTGGATTTCAGCAGGATGAAACAGAAATCATACACCAGTGGTTGATGAAATAGGGAATCACGGACCTCAATGGATCTCCCAGATGAAATATGGAAATAGGGACCCACCTGTATCTGCCCTAGGGAATATAGAAATTCAACTTAATGGATCTCACTGATCTCCCAGATGAAATAGGGAAATACGGACCTCAATGGATCTCACAGATGAAATATGGAAATAGGGACCCACCTGTATCTGCCCTAGGGAATATAGAAATTCAACTTAATGGATCTCACTGATCTCCCAGATGAAATAGGGAAATACGGACCTCAATGGATCTCACAGATGAAATATGGAAATAGGGACCCACCTGTATCTGCCCTAGGGAATATAGAAATTCAACTTAATGGATCTCACTGATCTCCCAGATGAAATAGGGAAATACGGACCTCAATGGATCTCACAGATGAAATATGGAAATAGGGACACCTGTATCAACCTCACTTAATGGATGATCTCCCAGATGAAATAGGGAAATACGGACCTCAATGGATCTCACAGATGAAATATGGAAATAGGGACCCACCTGTATCTGCCCTAGGGAATATAGAAATTCAACTTACTCTGGACTACGACAGATGGTACCTCATGGAGAGCATGTTTGGATTTCTTTCTTCTCCTTCTTGTGTTTCTTTTCTTCCTTCACTTCCTTCTTCTTTTCTTCCTTCTTTGTTTCCTTCTCCTTCTTTTCTTCCTGAAAACAGGAAACAATCTCAGTTTTAGAGTGTACACTTGGAAACTGGTTTTGTCACAAAATTTTCAGTCAGACAGACATCTGAAACTTACAGGACCCAATGTCCTGTTACTTTGAAACACCAACATGAACACTGCTGGATGGTCCTTCATTGTTGGAAACTCAAACACCCCCCACCCTTAACTAAAAAACGGACAAAATTCCCCCATCTCATCTTTAGATTAAAGGTTCTGCTGATCTTGTTGATAAGTGTGATGAGTTTGGTTTTCAACCAGACCCCTTTATTGTGATTATAGACTTTGAGTAGGCCGCCATGATGATGTGCTATGATCCAATTACATAAATATGAGAGAGAGAGAGAGAGAGAGAGAGAGAGAGAGGGAGGAAGGGAGGGGGGGAAAGAAAAGAAATGGTTTGGGTTTTTTTGTCCTACGATGCACTTTGGGGGGGGATTTTGTCCAGTTACCAGCTGAGGGCCATGGTACACAAGAAAAGGCGTGTTAAAAGCCTGGAATGAATCATTGATCATGTGGACTGATGGATGAAATGATGCACGTAACTGCTCTGAATGAAACAACGAAACACTTAGCAAAGTCAAAGATGTGTTGTGGGTACAATGAATAATATTGTGCGTCCATTCTGCATCCATTCACTGCATTTGAGAGTACTGGGCGCACATTTGTGTGTTGTGTAAACCCCTGCAGTTGAATGCGACAAACAATAGATGTACCTTTTCTTTCTTGGGAAATATGTCCTTCCTGGCCGGAAACTTGAAGCCTGGTTTACTTTTTTTTACCTTGGGGCTCCTGGAACAGACACACAGTCGTAAACAACATAATCACCGTGCCAGTTACCATGTTAGTGTGGACAGTTTTATTGGATGAAGGGTTTTCATTATGTTTTGGCAGTTCAAGAAGTGTAGCCCCTATTTTGGATGCAAGCTCAAGAACTACTTGCCAATGTCAATGTCACACAGACATCTTTTACAGAGATGCCAACCTAAAGTGTTGCAAATAGTACTTTCAAGGATCAAAATGAGTAGTTTGACCATAAAATTGGTAGTCAACTAAATACTTAAAATCATGATGGATTCTGAGAAAGATAATATGACACTAATCAAGAGCGAAGCTTTAATTTCACATATCAGTTTTGTATACTTGAACGGAAGGAACGGTCACGTGGTTAAATCATTCTGATAGGATCGTCATTTCCGCCGGTACACAATAAGTTGGTAAAAATCGCAAAGGTATTGAAATCATCTGATAGACAATTTCGGTAAAATTACGTTTGTTACTTGCAATGATTCCAGTTCAAATGTCATGAAATTTGATGAATGGAAGGTAAGTGAGGTCCGAAAATGAATTTAATTGATGTTTTCGTCTGTATATCCGAATCTTAATGAATTTTCTTCAAATTTCTAGTGAAACCATACTGGCGTAGCGACTACGATAAACTCATAGAGGTTTGCATCTCTGCTTTTACAACCTTCAATACTTCCATAGAGTGAAATTCTGCTTGTGGTTAGAAAAAAGAGTTGTCTAATGATTATCATTTACAGAAACAGACAATCAGATATATACGTGGTTATGGTGGAGTGAGTGAGTGAGTTTAGTTTTACGCCGCACTCAGCAATATTCCAGCTATATGGCTAATCTGGACCAGACAATCCAGTCATCAACAGCATGAGCATCGATCTGCACAATTGGGAACTGATGATATGTGTCAACCAAGTCAGCGAACCTGACCACCCGATCCGTTAGTCACCTCTTACGACAAGCATTAGTTACTGAAGATCAATTCTAACCCGGATCTTCACGGGCTGGTTAGGGTGGATGGTCAGTGATATGATAAGTAGTCAGGTCATGAGATGGTTTGGTCATGTAATGTACTCTATGTCATCACTTGATTGTTTTCTGTGAGTGTGGAGCCACAAACCGCCCACCATGCTCTTCACAGCAGTATGTATCTACCAATCCTCAGACAGACAAGACATTTTGTCCTTCCTTTTCCTTGACAGAATATACAAACTGCCTATCCACTGACAACAAAATGACCACCCACTCACCCATCCACCCCCACAAATTGCCTCTCCTCAGACAACACCATGACATCCAGCCCCACACCCCACAAGTTGCCTCCTCCCAGACAAAACAATGACATCCACCCCCTCATCCATTCATCCCACAAGTTGCCTATCCCCAGACAAGGTAATGACCGCACCTCACCAATCCACCCCCACTCATCATCCCACAAGTTGCCTCCTCCCAGACAAAACAATGACATCCACCCCCTCATCCATTCATCCCACAAGTTGCCTATCCCCAAACAAGGTAATGACCGCACCTCACCAATCCGACCCCACTCATCATCCCACAAATTGCCTCCTCCCAGACAAAACAATGACATCCACCACCACCCACAAATTGCCAGACAACACCATGACATCCACCCCCAACCATCACCACACTACATGTTGACCAGCACCACCACCCCACACCGTCAGAATCCGACCCCCACCCATCATCTCCAGATTCCCATTCCCAGACAGGCAGTCAAGCAAACAGAACAACATCGATCTTTTTTCTACAGACAGGAAAGTCACGATTACTGCCGATAGGACAATAAACATGATAAATCTCACCCCATTCACTCTCAGACAGACACAATCTCTCCCTCCCCTAAATGAGGCTACCCAATCTTCTATATAACCTGTTAATCTACCACTGACTACCCACTTGACGTCGTCCAAGGACACCATGTCTTCCTCCGAGTCTTCCTCCTCAAACATCATGTAGCCCTTCTCCTTCTTGTCCTTCTTGCCATCCTTCTTCTTCCCCAGATCCTTCTTCCTACTGGCTCGGTCATGGTCCTCCTCTGACACTATACCCAACATCAACAACAGGGTCTGAGTATCTCCATATTCTTACTAAATTAACCATTTCAAAAAAGTCTTTGAGTGAGTGAGTTTTAGTTTTACGCAACTTTTAGCAATATTCCAGCAATATCACGGCAGGGGACACCAGAAATGGGCTTCACACATTGTACTAATGTGGGGAAACGAACCCAGGTCTTCGGCGTGATGAGCGAACGCTTTAACCACTAGACTACCCCACTGCCCCATGAAGTGAGTAACTGACAGGTTCAAGTGTATTTCAACATGTTGAATAGACAAACATACAAGACAAAATGAGGCTGAATATGTGACACACATAATGGCGAGAATTTATGGTTGTCAACTATTTCATTTTGAGGAACACGCCATTTCAGATTATATTCTTACTCCTTCATCACCCTGTCTTTATGTGGTTCAACAATGTTGAGTACAGTGTTCATATTTGTATATTTTCTGGGAATTCTCACAGATAGTCACCAAAAATGGCCAAACATTCTCTTTAAAAATATGATAATGGTATGGAAGAATGTCTTATCAAATTGTTAAACCATGACACATTCATATCTAGGGGTGAAATGGTATACTGCGGTAATAGTAGAACCGCGTCATTTTGCCGTTCGGATTGGTATATCGTAATGCAATCCAAAAATTCGGTATATTTGGTTTTCATACCGTCGTTTTATTAACTTTTTTTAAACTTTCTAAATTGTCTAGAAATCGAATCATTTTGTACAAATCTTTGCACTTCTTTGCTGGATGGTAATTTTCTGCATCAGGAGTGGAAATAACATTAAAATTGCTAGTGTACTCCGGTACAGTGGCACATGTAAAATCACTTGCCCTGATAATTTTTCCACTATACCGGTCGTTTCTTGTTGATTCTTTAAATAAACAACATAACTAACATTGGAATATCAACTGGACACCGGTACAACATGATATACAATTTTGCTTGCCCGACAGAAAAAAACACTGGACTCGGGCATCGGGCAATGGGTTATTTCCACCCCTGAGCATTGTGATAATATCTCACATACCAAACCAAAATGGACTGAGCTGAAGTCATTGTACCACAATACGTACAGTACCATGGTAGAAGCGTACCGTTTCACCCCTGTTCATATCTACGTATCTAACAGATATTATTGTATAAATCCCCGATAATGTTGAAGATGAAATCACTGTGGATTAACTACAACAGTCACCAACATCACCAAAATGACAGCAACTTAAACACGAGGCACCAACACTGTAGGACAAAGTACTCACAATATCCCATGCACATGCAGGTGTTTGGGCTCTACATTTCTGAGGAGTGAGTGAGTGAGTTTAGTTGTACGCCGCTTTCAGCAATATTCCAGCAATATCACAGCAGGGGACACCAGAAATGGGCTTCACACATTGTACCCATGTGGGGAATCAAACCCAGCTCTTCAGCGTGACGAGCAAATGCTTTAACCACTAGGTTACCCCACCGCCCCATTTTGAGGAACTGGTGAAACATTGGTTTATTTGATACCAATATTCAATAAGTAACTATCATGCAACTGGCTCAGGTAACACTGATTGAGAGCCAAACTTGTGTTTCCTGTAACCATGGTAACCGTGGTAAATTGCCCACAAATACCATATTTAATCTTCATAGTTTCAAAATAAATTTCATAACATAATTCAGTTTGTTTCAAACCGAAAAACATTAAATCAACAATTCATGTCTTCCTTGAATTCAATTTAAATTGAATGTATTTGGTAACAAAAAGGGTATAAAATTAGCATAAACAAGTCGGAAATGCTCTAATTGAATTCCAAAAATAACTCAAGGAATTTGCTTCTTATTTGCAAAATACACATGATGCTAACCATACGCTATGATGTAAGGGTGCATAATTGGAGAGAGAAACAAGTCAAGAAACCAGTCAAGAAACGAGTCTAGAGGGCACTGTACCATGTAGGGCCAAGCAAGCAGTATCTTTTAGTAAAAAAACACCATGAAATATACTGGTCTGACACTAAGAATCTCACTGTTTGGCCATCTAACATCTATATGGCTTTTGTATTGAAATCATTACAGTGCTTAAAATTGATTTCTCTGACTACGTGACATCTTTAATTTCATAAAAGAACACTTAAATTAAATATAATTAAATTTAGATTAACTGATTTTATCAGACATACTTCCGATTTTATTAAATATTTCTTCGATTTCATGACATATTCCTCTGGTTTTATTAAATAGATAACTGATTTAGTTGGCATTTTGGCGTGAAAAGATGCAATAAAGAAAACATGTGCAACAGAGGTCACCATGACATCAAATGGTAATAACACAAGTCCGCATGCACCAAGGGAGGCGACAGCAAGCCTGTGGTATACCTGACGTCTGGTCGCTAAGCGACCCTGCTTTATACAGACCAGGGAAGTTCTTTTCATTGTCTGGACTCTCAAAACTCATCTTGGTAGATGACGGTGTTGATCATCTACAGCAATGGCATGGCCGCTTCTGAAATATACAATACTGTATGAGTTGTATAAATACATGAGTTAGTGCTGAACAGTGTTTACTGCTGCTTAACATAATTATAGCACAGATATTATTATAGATACAGATACAACCTATAACATATAGAATGAGGCAATGCGACTTCACACACGTTTTCTCCGATGTTACTCTAAACAATTTTAATGAATGAAAATGGGACAAAATTTAATCAAATCAAATGAAATTGAGGAAGATTGTTTTATTGTACATTATGTGTTTTTTGACATCATATGTTTTCGGATGGGAGTATTTATCCGTGCTATAACATGGTGTGTTGCATCACAGCAAGCATCGCAAGCATGTCTTTATGATAAAGTCGTCTTTTCTAAGTTATTACAATGTTCTGCTGTGCGTGTGATTATTCAAGAAAACCCCAAATGTTGTTAAGCATCTGAAAACCCAAAATACAAGGGTATGTATTAGTGCTGGTCCGATTAATTGAAATAATCGAAGATTGGTCGTAGTGACTAAACAACCAAGCAATCGATCACAATTTCTCATAATCGAACACAAACAATTCTGGAACACTTGTTTTCATTAAATGACTGACTAACTGAGTTTAGTTTTACGCCGCTTTTAGCAATATTCCAGCAATATCACGGCGGGGGACACAAGAAATGGGCTTCACACATTGTGCCCATGTGGGGAATCGAACCCGGGTCTTCTGCGTGACGAGCGAACGCTTTAACCACTAGGCTACCCCACCGGCCCGTTTTCACATGGTTGGTTTTGTCTGTGACATTTCGTAAGCACTACAGCACAAGCTCGTTTCAAGTCACGATTGAATTTAACTTAAAGATTCCAAGAAATTTATGTTCCTAACATACTAGTCATCCTTTAAAGATGTGCAATTTTGCCAAAAAAACCCCGAAAGAACTACTTTTTTTTACCTCATATTTATGTGCATTAACAAATTTCATAAATGATGCTAACCAAGTATTTTCGATGTACTAATATGTACGTTGAACACTGTTTATTGCAGTCCGCACTGAACTTCACTAGTTTACAACAAGATTAACCTGAGCACACCAGTTGATTTGTTGATATGTCATTTCTGATGACGTGAAGATGCAACTTTTTTATGGGAGCCACAGTTTACCCCGCGGTTTAACCAAAAGAGAGCGAAGCTTTATCGCGAGGGATGACTGTAGTACAATAACTGTTCAGCATTCCAGCATCTTACACAATTAGCATTATACATCATTACACATGAGAACAATTAGTCACTGATATCTCTTATATCGCCAGTAAACCAAACTAAGAGTCTATTTTGAATTATCAGTTATTATGACAGACTGGTATTATTACATCTGCTCTGAATATTATTTCTTCTTGTTATATTTTACTATTATCATAAGCAAAGTGTCTTAGATGTCTTACTTGCCATGTTCTTTTTAATATCATAGCACGGCAACTAGGAAAGTGGATACATGCAGGTCCATATTCCATCATGTTGTGATTTCAGAAGTCTTAATTAGACTCTAACCGCCTCCGTGGTGTAGTGGTTAGAGCGTCTGCCTGGGGAGCGGAAGGTCGAGGGTTCAATCCCCGACCACGTCATACCAAAAGACGTTAAAATATGGTACTTGTTGGTCCTGCCTGGCGCTTGGCATTAATGGGTACAACAAGGACTGGTCGCCTCGGAGTCAGTATAATGTGTCTGAGTGGGGTATTCATGCTTCACTGCGCAGGGTATCTCAGTGGGCTAGCACTATAAAACCAGCTTCAGTCTGGGCTAGTACAAGCAGCCGCACATACACATTCACACGCATGCACGTCGTCATATGAGCGAAATATTCTCAAAGCACGACGTATAACCCAATTTCACCTCACCTCACCTTAATTAGACTCTGAGGGGAATATAGGGAAGTATGAATCTCTAGAAACATAACATAAGCTATGTATGATACACAAGAATACAAGCCTTGTATGTCTTGGTTGATAGTGACCCGTGAAGATCTGGATTAGAACCGATGTTCAGTGACCCATGCTTGTTGTAAGAGGCAACAACTGGATGGGTGACTAACGGGATGACTTTGTTGACACAAGTCATCGTATCCCCATGCATATCGATGCTCATGCTGTTGATCATTGGATTGTCCGATCCAGACTTGAGTAGCTTCATGGATGCTCATGCTCTACCAAGACCGAGGTTGATCCCCACATGGGTTGGATTGCCCATTTCGATCCAGATGTTGCTTGAATATTGCTAAAAGCCGCGTGAAACCAAACAGTCAGTCAGTCAGTCTGATCCAGACTTGATTATTTACAGACGCTGCAGTATAGCTGGAATAATGCTGAGTGCGGCGTTGAACTACAACCAACCAACCAAGAGCCATTTATTAATTTAGCAATATTTTGTATTGCTTACACCATGCAATTTAATTACAGTGATATTTGTTGATTCCAAAATGTGGCAAATTAATAATACACTAACATACATTTTGTAGAGTCGGTGGGCGTGTTTCTACTGTGGGTCGTGTCCCGTACAAGTTACATGTGCAGTGAAATATTTACAATACGATTGTTACAGCTTCAAAGGCTGGTCCCAACGTGACATCATTCTAATTCGGATAAACACGCATTTATTGTATGAGTTTCGATATTTAGATATAAAATAGCTACTGCTCTTGCATTTCTTATCGATTGCTGAGGGTGTAAGTTTATGAGTCATTGAAGACGTTGGTGACTTCATCGGACCAGGCTCAGCCGAGTGCCTAGCAGACGTCACTTCACGTTTTCACAGAATACACCGTGACAAAGACAAAAGTGTCCAGAAATACACGTGCATAATGTTTGTGGTGCACATGCTTGATGTTGCGTGAAGTTTACATGCAAATACATTCCTATAACACTACAAAATAGTGAAAATAATTTACCAGAATAATGATTTCCTCGCTTTCCGGAAATAACAATGGAAACCCCGGGTTGTACAAAAAGTACGGTCTCACCATTTCAAAGAAACGAAAGTGGAATTGTCACATTGAATAAGTGACGGAAGGAGAGCCTTGAGTGTTTTGAGTGAAAAGGAAGGACTTGTCGAATGGAAGCAAAACACATGTAGTAGAGATCACCAATCTGACAGTTTGATAGCGCGGTTTGATATATTTATGAGTGAGCAAAAATATTCCCCAAAATCGATGATTGTGAGAGATCGAGAGAGAGAGAGAGAGAGAGAGAGAGTATTTGTAAAGAGATGTGTCATTAAGGGTAATATACCCATCTCGTTAACCATCTGTCATTCCAGTAAACCTTGTCAAGCACGAATGCTTTACTCCATTTTGACCTATTTCTACAAAAGGTGTATATTTAAATAACGTTGGCACTCAGCGCAAAACACACTGACAGTACATTGAGATTCTTATTCAATCTATACTTCCGTCTGCGGTAGCCATTGTTTGTCTGTATCATTATCAAGAATGATTTGTCAAGTCTAGATTTGAATTAAGCATTATTCTGGGTTCAATTTTACTTTAGGTTTCTGTTTTGTAAGATTGTAGACAATGATAATAATATCTTAAAAAAATAAAATTAAAAGAATTATTGTACCATTCAAAGACGTTGTGTCATTCTTTAACTGGGGCGGTGGGGTAGCCTAGTGGTTAAAGCGTTAGCGTTAGCGTTATCCCGGGTTCCGTTCCCCACATGGGTATAATGTGTGAAGCCCATTTCTGGTGTCCCCTGCCGTGATAGTGCTAATAGCGGCGTATAACTAAAGTCACTCACTCACTCACTATGGTCATTTGAACACCCAACGTGATTGTGCGGTTGCCAAACAAAAAGACAATTAATTACGATTTATTCAGAATTAATTTAAGATCAGATGCTTCTTGTACTTGTGGTTGTTCTTGTGAAAATTCATGGCATTATCTTTTAGAATGTTCTTTGTACACAACGCAGCGTAAAGATTTGTTTGTAAATGTAAATACTGTCGTTAAACATCGCATACCCATTAATCTAGATTTATTGTAATTTGGCCATGTTACACTATCACTATATGAAAATGAATTATTATTTGAACATGTACATAGATATATTAAGCTCACTGAAAGATTTTTGTATGTTTATTCTTGTATATACTATACACATCCTCTTTAAATACCTTGTACATTCCTTCCACAACTCCCTGTTGTCAATGTTTTTTATATTGTAAATATGACATATGTAACTTCTGGGAAAGGGCGTTCCTAAGTTGGATAACATGTGCCCAATCAATTTCATTTTCGAATAAAATATGTTTAAAACAAACTAAAAAACAACAGTTTAGACACCTCCAAGCCACAGAATTTACCGAAACCCGAACTATGGGTACATCATCAGAAAAGGTCGTAAATGTGACGTTAAGAGTCATAAGAAATGAAATAGACCATGAGCGTTCGTCGTTGGCTAGTGGGGGACTGGGGACAAGTTCTATTCTCCAACGAGAGTAAGTTTTGCTTGTTCAGAGCTGATGGCGGTTACAGACGCCAAGGTGAACGAATTCCGGACGATTGCGTCCAGCTGGTCAATGGTCAAGTAGCCAAAATAGGCTTAAACTATGATCTAGGGTAAGCATGATCTTGAGATATAATGTGACATGATAGGCCAGAATTAGCCCCCCTTATATACAGAGAAAAAAACCCAGAAAATTCCCCAATTTCCTTAGGATATAATAGGGTTTTGTACTACCATATGGTACCTAAAACAACACAAGTCTAAATAAAGCACTTACCACTACTTTCCCTAAATGACAATTCACATGGACACGTGTTATACTGGGATCCTTGTTACACATTGAATAACACTACCACGTTACAATTATTAAAGCCATGATGAGAATGCATATACTAGATGTATACTAGCTCAAACAACATAATATACATGTATATGTTGAACATTCCAAGACCATACATCAGTGAGTGAGTTTGGTTTTACGCTGTTTTAGCAAAATTCCAGCAATAACAACGCGGGGGACACCAGGAATGGGCTTCACACATTGTACCCATGTGGGGAATCGAACCCGGGCCCTCTGACGCTTTAACCACCAGGATATCCCCACCGCCCAATACATTCAGACGTTTTCGTAGGAGAATTTGACTGATGTACCAACCACAAATGAATCACACTTAAGACGAAGAAGTTAGACCGTCATAAACAAACCTTAGATAAACACAATGGAGTAACTTGGGCTCTTACCCGTGAAGATCCAGGTTAGAATATTGATCTTCAATAACCCAATCTTGTCGTAAGAGGCGACTAACGGGATCTGATGGTCAGGGGTCGCTTACTTGGTCATCGTATCCCAAATGCTGTTGATCACTGGATTGTCTGATCCAGACTCGATTATTTACAGACCGCCGTCATATAGCTGGACTGACTGACTGCGTTTGGTTTTACGCCGCTTTTAGCAACATTCCAGCATTATCACGGCGGGGGACACCAGAAATGGGTTCACACATTGTACCCATGTAGGGATTCGAACCCGGGTCTTCGGCGTGACGAGCCAACGCTTTAACCACTAGACTACCCCACCTCCCTCATATAGCTGGAATATTGCTGGGTGCGGCGTAAAACAATAAACCAACCTAAGGCTAAGAAGTTAGTCCATCCAAAACAAACCTTAGGTGATCACCATGGAGAAACAAGGGCGGCGGAATGGCTTGGTGGTTAAAAGCGTTCGCTCGTCACGCCGAAGACCCGGTTCGATACATTTGTAGAAAAGTCATCTCGACGCTGTACACATTAAAACACATTTCTTCTTCACCCGATACATAATAATAATAATAATAATAATAATAATAATAATAATAATAATAAATGCATATTTATAATGCGCCCCTTCCACACCCTAAGGCATGCTCAAAGCGCTACAGAATATTTACACTGGAGTATTTACAGATGAAGTTATACATAATATACTGAGAAAGGGTGGTTTTAAGTCTGGACTTAAAATGTCAATTGTGGCAGAGCTTTTAAGGGCACATGGGAGAGAGTTCCAAAGCACAGGCGCGGAGTAAGAGAATGATCGGTGTCCGAAGGATTTCAGTTTGTAGGATGGGATGACCAGTCGGTTTTGTGTGTTTGAGCGCAAGTTGCGTGCGGGGACATACGGATGTAGGAGTTCAGACAAGTAGGAGGGAGCCAAACCATGGAGGCACTTGTATGTCAGACAGAGGATCTTAAAGTCAATTCTGGCCCTAACTGGTAGCCAATGCAGTTCTTTCAACACTGGTGTTATATGGGAACGTTTAGAAGTCTTGCTGATGATGCGGGCGGAAGTGTTTTGGATCCTTTGAAGCTTATCAAGGAGTTTAGAACTGAGGCCTGAAAGGATGCTGTTACAGTAATCAAGCCTAGATGTAACAAGAGCTCGAACAAGGGCTTGAGTTGCAGCAGTTGTCAGGTATTGCCGAATGTTACCAATGGATCTTAGGTGAAAGTAGCAGGTCCTGCTCAGACGGTTAACATGAGCATCCAGAGTCAAGGAAAAGTCGATGTGGACACCCAAGTCCTTAACCACATCAGAGAATCTGACGTCAGAGTCTGCGACTGTAAGGGTGTCGGTTTTGACCTTGCTGAGTTGTTGCTTTGTACCAATGAGAACTGCTTCTGTTTTGTGTCATTAAGTTTAAGCATGTTTCCTGTGATCCAGCACTTGTCCTGCGTACATTCAGCGATGCACTGAAGAGACGTAGATAGATCTGACAGATGAACTGCTTTCAGGAGCTGGGTGTCATCAGCGTAGGCATGATGAGAAACTGTGTGGTCTGTAGTAATCCTTCCGACATAGTATACAACACAAACAGGACTGGACCAAGGACTGATCCCTGTGGCACCCCACATGTGATTACAGTGCCTTTTGATCTCTCAGTGCCAATTACAACAACAGATTGCTGTCGGTCAGACAGATAAGACGTCACCCATTGAAGGGCATGACCTTCAAGTCCGTACTGTTGTGTGAGCCTGGACAAGAGTCTATGGTGATCGATTGTGTCGAAGGCTGCAGAGAGGTCCAACAACACTAGAGCAGCAATCCTACCATCGTCGACAGCACAACGATACATGTATCAATAGAAAATACATAAAACTTTTTACCGATCCATTTACATAAGGATACAGGTGTCAATAAAACGACCCGTGAAGATCGGGGGTAGAATAGATCTTCAGCAACCCATGCTTGCCACAAAAGGAGACTATGCTTGTCGTAAGAGGCGACTAACAGGATCGGGTGGTCAGGCTCGCTGACTTGGTTGACACATGTCATCGGTTCCCAAATTGCGTAGATCGATGTTCATGCTTTTGATCACTGGATTGTCTGGTCCAGACTCGATTATTTACAGACCGCCGCCATATAGCTGGAATATTGCGGAGTGCGGCGTAAAACTGAACTCACTCACTCAATAAAATACATTGATTTGCGTACAGCTCCAAATTCCTGTTGCCTGGGGAACTTTCAAGGATATGTGCCCCAAAACATCAAGCGCACACTACTCATCATTACTGACACCAAAGACCAGTTTTACCTTGATATCTGGGTTAAACTCCCAACAGTGAAGTTGCAATCCTCTAAAGCTTAATCATGTAGCAAACGCTGAGGTGGAGCGCGTGATAGCTTAAAAATGGCGGTGCAAGCAAGTCTACTCGAATAGATCCATATCGAAGTCGGCTTGTCACTGAATATCAGGGAAATTGGTCTTTCAAGATGGCAGAAGAAGGGAGCAAGGTGTCAAATGTCGAAGTTTGCTGGGATGAAAGTTATAGGAAGAAGCTGAAGGCCAAGATGACAAAGAGATCGGAGGAGACGGCCGAGGGTTGTCGCGTTTGGACTGGATGTAAAGACAAGCAGGGCTATGGAAGGACGTGGGTTAAGCATGGACGGAGAGAGAGAGAGATGCCTGCATACAGAGTTGCGTACATATTGCACCATAAGTTGACTCCTGACACTCTTGCCCGGAGAGACGAA